AAAAAGATCATCCTCCATCCCATTCAAAATGTGACCACGACATATGAAATCGTCGTTGTCCCACTTCGATCTCTCCCGAACAGATTTCCAAGGTTTCATTCTCATGTTCATCTGGCCTTGGAGTACTTATAACATAGGCAACATTCAAAGATGTAAGAAGAAAATACATTTTCTTCTTCCATCTCCGAAACTCCACACCATCAAACTTTTTTAGTTTAACAAAATTTGTGGTTAATTCTTTCACACTAGACATGTTTGCTCAAGATAAACTAAACCTCTTTAGATTGTTAGGTTTTACAGCAATTCAAATAACTAAGAATTACTTAAATATTGTGGGAACAAAACCTAAATTGTGTATAATAACAATCAATTATACAACAAACCAAATACTAGTCAAAGTATTACAACCCAAACACCAAAATAATAATGTATTTCAGAAATTACAAACAAGAACACTAATGTATAAGATTCTAAACTTGCCTCAACTCCAATCCTTGATGATGATGAACATGAACATGAGAAAACGATGACCACTTGAGTCTCAAACCTTGATACGCTGTCAAGACGTGTAAACACTTTCCTAAAGAGGTTTATTTCTCCCACACGGTACTTGGGTTAAACCGGAAATCCTCTTTGAGATACAATTGACAGCAAACTTCGTTCTTAGCACTTAGAATCGAAGAACAATGAATAATTCACGATGAAGGCTAAAAATCAAGAGTTTTCTCACAATAGTTTGCAAGAAAATTGAGAGAAAATATGGAGAATACTTTTGGGATTGAAAGAGTGAAAAATGTTATGTCTTACTTCCTCTCACGAAATTCTCTTTTATAAGAAAAATAATCGTCAGCAAATAACCGCAGAACTAGGAAGAAGCGCGGGCGCGACACAAATAGGCGCGGGCGCGCCACATGTCGGAGCGGGCGCTCCTCCCAAAATGCTTGCGAAATCAAATTCAAGACAGTGAGGGCGCGGTTTTAGCGCGGTCTGAAGCGCGGGCGCGCTGCCTGGTGGCGCGGGCGCGCTACCCACTGTCATCCAAATGCTGATTTCCAGAGAGGTGCGCGGTTTAGGCGCGCTCTCATCGCGGGCGCGCCTACCTGGCGCGGGCGCGCTTAACATGGGCGCGAGCGCGCACCATACAACACTCTAAATCATCAACAAGACTGAGAAGAGGAGAGAGAAAGGGCGGAGAAGAGAAGAGGAACAGAGAGAAGAGGAGAGAGAAGTCTGAGAACTGAGGAGAGGAGAGGAGAGAGAAAAGGAAGAGAAGAAGAGAGAGGGGGAAATAAGGGAGTGGCGGCTAGCAGTTTAATGTAGGGTTTAGATTTTTTTCTATTTATTTTTTAATAGTTCCGACGAAAATTTGACGGGGAAATTTAGAATTCCGACGGAAAAAATTCATCGGAACTTTCCGATATGAGTTAACCTTCTGATATAATTTAAGGAAAAATATATGTAAATAATAATTAACCTTCTCAAGGAAAAATAGCAAAACTAAAGGGTTAATGAGTTACCCAGTTGTTTGACTACATATATATAGATAAATAAAATACATAAATGCTACATATTGGAGCTTAGATCCAAAACACCAATTTAACTAAACATACAACTTCTCAAATTCACTATAGAGTTAATTACCAATACTATAATGATAATTCAGAACTTAAATGCTAAACCTTTGAATATCCAATTACATGCAATTTCTGTTATACTCCATATTACATGCAATTTCTGTTATACTCCATATTAAACTAATAGCTCTGGCACTTCAATTTTATAATAATGAAAACAAAGAGTAACGGTCTTTTTTTTTTTCTTGAAAAAAATAAAATAAAATAATAATAATAGGGAATAAAGAGTCAAGTTGTCAAGGTAATTCAATACCTGCCTTAAATCATTAATACAGAGAACACCTACTTGACTTTTTTTTTTTCTTTGAATGAATGTGTGTGTTTTTTTTTTTTTTTAATAATTAAATTATGTGGTTTATAGTTATGTATATTTCTTTTTCATATTTGTAATATGCTTGATAATTTGCTTAGATGGTTGAGTAGTCAATTTTGTTATAAGTGGTTTGGGGTTTGAATCTCCTTATCTTCAAATGTTTTATGATGTGGCATGATGAAATGTTGGGTAGGTGACATGGCGTCATGAAGGTCTTTGTGAAGTGACATGGCGCCATCAAGTGTTTGTGAAATGACATGACATAATTTGGAGGAGTCTATGTAAACGCCTTTTAATGTATTAGTATAGATGATGTCATCATTTTATGATTTTTTCTTATTAAAATTTTGGCCAGCTATATTATTATCAGTATCAATTTTTGAAAAACAGTCTATTTTCTCTAACAATAATAATTTAATTTTTCTTCCTCAAGTACCTTTTCATCATTCAATATTTTTATGAGCTCTAATTTTTTTTTTTTTTTTTTAATATTTGATGTATTATTTGCTTTGGGAAATTTTTTTTGTTTTAATTTTGTTATGAAAAAATAAACAAATTTAGAAAATTTTATTTGTTCAAATTGTGCATCGCACGAGACTAATCTAGTGAAGGAACTATTTACAAACTACAATATCCTATCCTATCCTATATATAAAGTCAGCCAGAAGGGTTTTGGGTGATAAATTTCACTTTCCCAAATTACCACTCAACTTTTTTTTTAAAAAAAAAAACTACCATCCTAAAAAAAAAAAAAAAAACTATTATTCTATCCTAATTTTGTATACAAGTATACAACTAATTATTAACTTTTTTTTAATTACTCGATAAAAAAATATTATATGACTTCAGCAAATGTTTTTATTAACAACAATTTCTTTTAGCATTTTTTTTTAATCATCCGTTTATAAATTTACACTCACTAATTTTTATTTATTAGAATAAAGAGGATAATGGTGCCTAACGGATTTCTTATATAGCACACACACGCATTGCGTGTGTTTCTTAACTTGTATCCTATAAGGCCAGGTAAACTGATATTTATTACGGATTAATGTGACTAATCAAGAAAATCATTTAAAAACAAATTGAATAATATGCGTATAATATACTCCGTACTTGGCTATTTGCACGCACGACTTGAAGACTTTTGCATTAATATATTACGGAGTACATATAATTTTTTAACGTATACCCATGGACACACATTAATAAAACAAATTTCTTATAATTATTTAATGACGAGGAATATCTACATGCTTAAAAAAATATAGGTTTAAAAAATCATTTGAAAAATAATAAAATTTTCATTATTTTCACTATTACAAGATTTACTACATTATTTCCAAATATTTTATTCAATATATTTTTAGTCAATTTCCTAATACAACTATTAAAAAAAAAATAAAAAAATAAAAAAAATACTACTATCTCATATAAACCTCATATACGTACTAGTGTACTACTCCATACAATTATTCCTTTTTTTTTTATGAAGCTGTCAAACTTTTACCATCTTCCTTTCTTTTTTATTTCTTAATGAAACCGCCATACATTAGAAAAATGTACTGCATTGTTTGACAAAATATATTCAGTTGAAATGCAATACATTTTTCTAATTTATTTTACAACTTAAAATGATAGGATTTGAACACGCAATCCCTTCAAATCCATTTTCTACTGGTGCACTATTTAAATTAGAGTTCTTCTCCATATTCCCCTTCTCGGGTAGTATAGTTAGAATTCAATATATTATAGGAGGGAGGATGAAAAAGTTAGGCGCCAAACTACTCTGTAAAACAAAATAAGTAGGCAAATTATTCAATTTTACAATTGATGTAAAAAATTAGCGGTTTTGTAAAAAAAATAGAAAACGAATAAAAAGGAATAATTGTATGGAGTAGTACGTATATGAGGCTAATATGAGGTTAGCAATTATTATTGTTTTTTTAACAGTTGTATTAGGAAATTGACTAAAATATATTGAATAAAATATTTGGAAAAAATGTGGTACATCTTGTAATAGTGAAAATAATGAAAATTTTATTATTTTCCAACTAAATTTTTAAACCTATCGTTTTTAAGCATGTAGATATACTTTGTCATCAAATAATTATAGGGAATTTGTTTTCTTAATTTGTGCCCATAGACACACGTTAGAAAAACCAATAAACGAATACTTGTATTTATCAACTAGGAGTAACTTCTTATTTGCACGAAAACTTTTGCCCACTCGTTAGTTGTTAATATCGTATGTGTGAAAATGACAAATCAATTAACTATGTTTTACATCTAAATTTTTAAATTTGATCAAAGACTTTGTGCGATAATGACAAAAAAATTAACTATGTTTTACCTACAATATTTTAATTTGATCAAAGACTTTGCGCAAAAATAACAAATTAATTAACTACTTTGATCAAAGAAGTACGTTTTTATACCCTCTTCGTTCTTTTTTTTTTTTTTGCCTCTATCTTTATACTTTTCGATCCGTTTAGATATCCATGTTCTCTGTTTTCTCTCTTTTTATCTTCATGCTTTTACTTTATTTTTATTTTTTTTGGTAAAGAATTTTTTTTACTTTTATAACTTATTAATTACCTGCCAATGGTCCATATAAACTGTATAATAAAATAAAATAAAATAAAAAAAGTACCCATTTTCTCCTTACCAGTTCATTTTATATGAACTGTAAGTGAGAAGATTAAAAAAAAAAAAAAAAAAAAACATAAAAAATTTCAAGGTATAACACTATAACCTACTTCTAATGTATAGAGGCAAGTATATTACTTCAAAAAAAAAAAAAAAAAAAAAGATGTTAATGAAAAATGTTGATTATTGGCTAGTTGGCAACATGCATGATCAACTCGTCATTAATTATGTAATTGTATACTCCGTTGATCGACTATTAATTAGCTGGCATATTAGTGTCACTCGATCTACTGATCTGTTATTGTTAGAGATATTCTACATAAAGTTATACGAAAACCATGGACTAGTTAGTTGCAACTTGCGCAGATTCTTATTCATGAATATGCTTAGGTTTTTTTTTTTTTTTTTTTCTTTTTCCTATAAAAAGTTATAAATCGTCAATTTCGAATATTTTAGAGCTTGAATTGATGTCCATTTATGATTTTTTTTTTTCCTAATCCTTAAGTTTTCATTTCAATGGAATTTGGTTATTCACCAAATACTAAGATGAGTAAAATCCTTGCTACTGCAGCTAAGCATGCAATCTTAACTAAAGTTCAGACTAATGCCAGAATATTAAGACATACAATAACATTCATAATTCAGGTAATAATATATTCTAACATCAAACACTTCACTTTTATACATTAATACGAGCAACATTCATAGCTTCATACATTCATTTCCTAAAAAGTACACCCAATATCAAGAACTTCTAGCTCCATCCACCACTAAGTCAGAAATAGAGTTAAAGTGGATGATCATCCATTCATCCTAAAGACTTACTGTGCCATTCATTCTATGAGGAACTTCCAACATGTTACCTAAACAAGCACTTCCTTGCAGAAAAATTTTCAGAGTTTTACAAAGAAATGAAGAGAGTTGCGAACTTTGAAAGATGATGAACACATAAAACCTCCCAACACAAGTCATAAAGCTTATACAAATTACTAAGTACGAAGTATTAATGTATTATTTAGTCTAAAACAAAGTCAAATTATACATGGAAATTCATGAAATTAGATATTCAAATTATTCATCATAAATTACCAATTAGTTCAATTGAATCCATTATTGCATACTTAGCTAGCTTCAATTCGCCCCCTGATCATAGTATGTATCCTAGTAATCAATCCAAAGGACGAAGTTCAATACCATGAACAATAAGACCACGTTTCCAATTGAGTTCTTCAACCTCCCTTAAACTCATCTCTAATACCACCCCTTGATCAGCATCAGCACCAACTTGATACCTACCCATCTCTATTTCCATCCACCCATCACCTCTTGTAACCGGAAGCTCTTCAGGCCTCCGAACTGAGGGTGCCTCAAGGTAAAATTGCTTAACAACCACGGTGTAATGTTGTGTGGGTAACCCTTCTTCGGTAACCTCTGAAATAGATACATTCACTGGTGTATCTTCAAATCCTTGATGATTGTCAACATCCATTTTAAACACAAAATATGCACCATAAGTTGTTTTTGGTGAAAGGACTTTGGTGTGCATTTTCCCTTTTATGTCTAGCCAACATACGTTTTTGAGCACAGTGGCTTCTGGAAACCTAAAAAATAAGTATGTATATAGGCATATTATGCACAATAATAACTCAACTTGGTACTCGTAACAACTAACATGATTTATCAAAGGGTATATGCACATACATTCATGATTTGTTGATTTAATGCATTGAAATTCACAAGTGACTAGAAGATATATGCACTGGGAAAAGCTGGTTGAACAGATGCTAATCAAGTAAGCATTGGGATTTAAAGTGACTTTATAGTATGGAGTTGAAAAAAGTTCGTTAAATCTACACATGGCAAATTGATTAAATATCAATTTAATTATACGAAAATACGACCTGAAGTCCAATAGGCAACTTGTTGACCTAAACTTGAACGGATTCAACAATTACTATATCTTTTAACAAGTAATTTCTCATTATTATCCATGAAATGAACTGAATATGACTCGATCCAACCAACCTGCCTTTGAAACAAACTGAACTAGTCCCTACTCAGGCATGACTCAATCAAATCTGATCCTAATGTGTGACAGTTTGTTGCAAGTATGAAATCATGTGCTAGTTCATCTATATACAGAGTACATGGTTTTTCTGGCATACAACATTTCACAACATCGGATGTTTGCATAAATTAATGGAAAGAGACAGAGAGAGACACCTTGATTCGGGTACTGCGCTCCAACTCCAATACTGAGGAGTGCCTCCCCATGTAATCATCAGGGCTCTAGCCCCAAGCATGTAGCATTTCTTCCCATTCCATTTATTCAAGCCAAAGCTCTAATTCATGCGCGTACATATATACAAAAAGCATTAATCATAATGTTCTTGACAATAACAAGGAAAAATTGATGCGCACAATTTTTTACAAGTTGACAAAAGATTGATGAACCTTGTCATACTCGTTTTACAATGTTTCCAGGCATAATATATGTTACCCCTCCCGCCCCTTAAAATTTCCCTCATTTCCTTTTTGAAAACTCGAATAGGATTGATTAACTAATTTAGCCGACATCTGGTCCACATCATTACAATATTGTTAAAGTATTCACATAACCATGAAAAGTTTACTTGATCGAACAAAAAGTACTATAAAAGTCAAACACTTGATCGATGAACAAAATAAAGCAGATGACTAAGATATATAAATGAAAACTTTACCTGAGTATTATTGTTGAGGAGGATAGGAGAACGGCAGAGATGTAAAAAGAGGTCCTTCTTAGAAGTAAGCTGATGAAGAATAGGAGACACAGAAGATTGAGAGATTATTTCAGTACAATCTGATGGCAGAAATTTCTCCCACACGGTATTGGATCCCAAAGCCAAATACAACTGCTTTGACACCACCTGTGATTTGAGGACATCGACTGGGGACGTCAGCGAAAGGATATACGACAGGCACTCTTCAGGTAAATCCAATATGTTCATACAAGACATGTTTAATGTTTTGATGATAATTGGATACTTGGTAAGAAAAACTTCTATGCTAAGCTAAGAAGGTGACTTTTTCTTAGATAAAAAGACTTAGAATACTTCCCGAGTAGCTGGCAGCCTGGCAAACTATATTATGTTAATGGTCACCATTGCTTTTTGCTTATTACAGGTTGACACTAGCAAACAATTTAGAATTATAGACTTTGATTAGAAATGATATGATTGGTACTACGTATATAATTAGAAAAAGACTGTTGAGTTTACTTGATGAAATATGAAATTTTCTAATCTGAAATGAAACTTAAGAATTGATATTCTTGATCCTGTGTGACTACATTGGAAATTCTTTATTATAAGCATTATGTAGATTAGAAAAACCAATGAGGTCTCCATAATAATACATTATTAATACGAAAATACCCCCAATATCAAACACTTCCAGCTCGACCACTTAGTCAGGAATAGAGGTAAAGTGGATGATCATCCTAAAGACGTGCTGTGCCAGTAATCATACAACTCTAGCCTCTTGACTTTATATGAGGAACTTCCAATATGCGGCCTAAACAAGCACTTCCTTGCAGAAATTTTTCAGATTAATAGATGGCTTGGAGTACTCGCCTGACATTATCTTGGATGCAATAACAGCATTGGCTGCTTCAGTGTAATGAACTTCATCCCAGCTCACAGAATGAGATGGATCAGCGCAAGCAGTTGCTGTAGGTTCACCACAAGTCTTCTTGTCTACATAGTTATAGGGAGGCCCCCCATTGCCACAGCAAGCCATTAATGGGTTTTCAAAGCCTGGATGTAATTACAATGCAACATTAATATGTGACCTTTCTATTCAGTAAAATGTAGCTTCAATTTTGAAAACATTAATTAAATAATTAGAACTCACCATATCTCCCTGGATTGGCAAACAGATCATATTTGATAGCATACATATCAACGTGTACAACGAAAGCCTCCTTGAGTTCGGTTCTTAATTTATCACAGAGGTTACTCAAACCGTCATTGAAAGCCTTTGCACCATTGTTATAAAGTGCCAGGCACCCCAATTCATTCAGTTCACTGTCATTCTTCTTTCGCAATGCTAGAATTTGTGGTAAGCAGCCTAACGGCCCAGTATCGTATATCCAAAATTTTCTAGCACCAAGTTTGTATAATGCCTGTAATATGAAGAGGTGAACCAATCAAGAGACTTGTAGATTATTGTGTTAAGTATTGCTCAAACAAAGCGGAATGAGACGGTTGAATCAGTCAATATTGATGAAAAAATCTACAGGGAGGTATCTACTTCAGGAAGTGACTAAATTTAATAAAAGTGAAAGCTGTAAAGTAAATACAAAAAAAAACTACTAACACTCATGCACAACCTATGTAAGCAGACCTTAGTAGAATTTTCAATCCTCCCAAGGATGATTGGAATTTTGTTGACAACTTCTTGATAACTTGAGTTTGCTACAAGAGCAAGATTAACATCATTCTGCCCAATGTCTATTGAATAAACAGCATTCCTGAACTCCTTTTCATTGATCATTGATCCTTTACCTGTGACAATGTGAAGCAGGGTAGTATGATATAATTTCTAGATAAGCAATGGTAAATTTCAAAGCGTCGACTGAACCAGAAGTGACCAACATAGAAACAATCACTGGAACAACACACTCAAACAGTTTCTTGTAAACACTGAAAAAAAAAAAAACCAGCGTGAAAGTACCTCGTCCCCTGAGCTCTCTTGTGCGATTCTGGAAGTGGCCAAATTGCCCTGCCTGAGTGGATATTGAGAAAGGGTTGTATAGACTAACTTCAGTAGAAGCACCAGCTACAGCAAAATTTACACCATGGCTAAAATCTGACCCTGAAGATTCTAGGTATGCGCTCAGAAGATCCATCTTCAAGTTCTGACCTGTAAGATAAGCAAAAGAGACTTATACTCTAAATATACTTTTACTGAACGCCACTCAGTTTATACCAAAATCTGAACAAAACCCAACTAAAAGTATCTTTACAACAATAGATCAATTACTCAATTAGCTGTTTGATATAAGAAAAAGGCGTACAAATGAAATCGATGTATAGTCGACCATTGCAGAAGCGACCAGTGGGCCTGTGGAAGAACTGCTGACCAGATGGGGGACCTAGATAGAGGCCAAGAGCAGTCATCAGAGCTCCCGGGTCAGAGTTTGAATCCCCGAAATTGAAGAGAGCACAGTTTGAGTGAGCCAACCCCAGTGCAGGAAGAATTACTAGCCTTGAGAGATACAAATGATATCCAAAAAGAACACGAAGCCTAGCATGTTGATCTCTCATTTCTTCCCTTCACCTTCCTTTCCGCTATAAAATTTGTTTTAAAGACAGCATAATTTGTTCTTTAGTATTTATAATCTTCACCTAAACTTTTACTATGAGTATTCTATCAGCAAACAGGAAAGATCACATGCAGCTAGTCAATTCTATATTATCCAATACTAATATAGAATACGGAAAATTCAATCAGATGGGGATGAAAGCTTGCTATATATTTGTCGTGAAGATGAAGTGGCATAATTATAAGAGACTTTAATTTAAAACCACTTGGCTATGTTCAACTTGCAAAAAGTCAAATCACTGCCAAGATCCTAAATTTAGTAACTTCAAAAGTAAATTGACTAGCAAGTGGCACTCACAAAGGACTTTACTGTCCTCAACCAAGAATTACTTATTCATTAGGTTGCATTGTTTGATAGAAAGTTTTAGCTAATTTGCTGATTAGCGATACGATTGATAAGCAGGCCCAAAATACTTAAACATAAATGGACAGGAGATTAAACATAGAGAAACATCCTGCTGCTACTTCAAAAACCTCATCTAACATGGCCTAATACGTTATAGCAATGATAATGGGATCTCTGACAGAAATTTTAGATAAGTCTACTTGTGTTGTTGATGAAGTCTTCTTCATAGTACAGATGTTGTGTATGATTAAACATGTTCCTAATATGGAGTACAATATTTTAATCTTCATAGACAGAATCCTCTGAATCTGCAGGTTTTAAGAACTTAAATTTAAGGAATTTTTTTGGCTGCATTATGCAAATTGACATTAAACAACATTAGAAAAGAAAAGAGGATGACGTTTAATGCAGTACAGTTATATGATATACAACACATCACGTATAAGTAGAGATCTAATCATATGTCAAAAAATATAAACAAGCATTGACTTAGTCCACCAATTGTATTAGTATCATGTGGATCATAGTAATAATTACGCCTTCAAATATTAGTAGCCTTCATGAAGAGAAAGTAAAGCACTAGGATTGAAACTCAAGATAAAATATGCTTACGTTGTTTTTGGGTGAGACTATGTGAGAATCATACTTGCATATTTATGGTCCAATTTGCACTTACATATTTATCTCTAGATTAAACTAAAAGGAAAAGAATGCTTTGTGTCAAATTTATAATATCTTTATCAATAGCTAAGTTTGATGGTCATTGTCTTCCAATGTCTTCTTATCAGGAAATACAACATTAAAACTCAAATCTATGAACTTAAATAGAAAACATGTATTTTTATATGGAAGCTCCTTAAGTAGGAAAAAAAAAAAAACTTTGTAGAAAACCTATCAACACCAAACCTTTTCCAGTTTCTCCACAGTCCACAGTGAATGTTGCTGTTGATACTCCATCCAGCCAGAATCCAAGTTTGAAACATTGTTAATCCTCATCCTCCCATGTCCCAGCTGACTCATACAGATACTGAGATACAGGGGTGGCATATGGGACGCCGCTGCATTGTGTAACAAACATCAACTTCATAACCTCGTTGGAAGCAAAACTTGATATCTATCAACTCTATTCACCTCACTTCCACTTATGGAAGCAGTCCTCATACAAAAACATACCAAGTAATAAGAATTCACTTCATACAAGGCTACAACGGAGTGTCTGACCACATATAAGACCAACAAAATTCTATCCTAAAACCAAGCACCAGAGTCGGTCATAATCCTTCCTAGTGAGGGACAATGTCCTAACTCACGTGTAGGTTTTCCTTAACAAAACTCGATATCAAAACTCGGTTTGACAAGAATTAGGCAAATATACAGGCTCAAACTAACTGTTCAATCTTTCCTTTTGCCTTAAATTTCTCCAAAAATAATCAGCAAAGCAAAATTTACTTGAGCCAGGCCACAAACTGAGTCCAAGAAACCAAGATCAAAGCATCAAGATTTGGGCTTTTCAGGGTAGTGTACAGTAATCATCCAAAAATCACATTAATTTTCATTTTTTAATCACTGGTCAATCATCAGAAATTATACTCCAGAAAGTAAAGATCTTTTTGAGTTGGGTAATTTCATAAACACATGGTATGTCCTGTAATTAGAAGAAATAACTAACCCTGTTGCTCACTTGAGGATTTCGTCGAACCCCTGGTATGCATCCTCTGCTCCACCATCTCTCATCAATCATCCCATCTCTTTGAATGAATCCAACGGCTTACAATTAACCATGCTTGAAATTAAACAGTGGGTACAGTTCAAATTTGTCAATTCTGAAATTAATTAACAGCCAGTTATTGAAAATGAGGGAAATTGATGTAAACTTTTGTCATTATTTGCAAGAGGTCAAGAAAGAATACCCCTTTAATTGAACAAGCTTTTGCGTAAAGATAACTTCTTCCTTGTTTGGTAGATTTTTCAGGAAAGAGAAAGCGCTCACAATACTTGGCATCTAATTAAGCATTGATGCCCCACCTGGTGAAATTTCCATCACTTGCCACTTCTCTAAATGAATGGATTCTATTCAGCCACTCTGGTGAAAGTAGAATTTAAGTTCAAGGAGTAAGATAAAAATGCTTGACATGGGCTGGGTCGTGCTCGTGCAAGTTTACTTATTGAACCATAAACTTACGTGAATGAATGAGTCGAGGAAAAGTTATGTTATGTCGATCTTTCATTAATAAGGCTGCACAACGCCACAACCTAGCCAATGAGTAGGGTTGTGAATTGTGATATGCCATTGGTTAATAAGTTTAGAAATAAGCGGGTCAGCATGTAGGTTCACTTATCGTGCTTGTGTCATATTTGAAAATCGAGTCATGGTACACCAATGTGCACCTAACGCTTGCTAGGTCAATTTCTAGCTACACCCGAACATTACACCTGTTACCCATACCCAATTCTAGATCTTTAAATACCAAGATATCAAATTGTTTCTATTTAGAAGAATTTTTGTGACTTCAAGTGTGAAACATGTACCATTTTACTGATGAATAATTCACGAGGAAGAATAGTTTTTCAATTTGCCCATTCATAAGAAGTAGCACAAAGTATAATTTAGTTCAATTTGCCCATTCATAAGAAGTAGCACAATTTGCCTATTTTGTACCACTAACATGTTTTACTGTAATTTCCTCAAAAATCTTACCATAACATACATTTAAGATTTACAAAGTAAGCTAAACCAAACAAAGATCTTCTAACAACACACAATTTAATATCTTGACTCTTGAGATTTTAACGTCTGAAGTTGGGTATAAGCTATTATCCATTTAAAATTAAGCATGACTCGTGAATCATCTAGTTAGTCGAAAATAATTTCGTACCAGTTAAAACCGGTTGTTCTGACATTATTATAAGTCGCCAAAGTTGTAACAGTGAAGTTCCACTAAGACACGTTTAATATATGTGTTGAACGACTGGACGAATGAAGGCGAGGGTCCATTTAAGCATCTTGCACAATCTTTCCAACGCATTTCTCTCTTTCTCTCTCTTCCATTTTCTCTCTCTAGAGTCTCCTCAATTATCGGATTCAAAGATTCAATCTTTCTCTTTGCATTTCTTCTTTCAATGAAATTTACTATCTTTTGAGTGAAGTAAGTAAAACTCAGCTTTGGTTTTTTGTTCTTTTTTCTGCAAATTAATTTTTTTTTTGTTATATTTTTATGCTTATTTAATTTCTTGGAGTATTTAGATTATTAATTTAATAGGTTCAGACAGATCATTTACTTTATTTGTTTATTATTGATTTTTTTTTTTTTTTTTTAATAAGTCTGCAAATCTGCAATTGCTTTTATATTGATGCAAATTGTATTAGAATAATGTCAGATTATGCTGATAAATCATGTTGTTATTATGCTTAATTTGGGAAAGTGTATTTCATAGTTTATTATTGGAGTGAGAAATCATTGATTGAAGTAAGTTCAGTATTTATTTGTCGATAGCTAGGGTTTTGATGGTTCAAAGGAAGGAGAGTAATGGTTGATGATATTTTGGAGGAATTAGCATAATTGGTTTCTGATGTAACGATTCTCTTGAAAAGAAAGTATAGTATCTTTGTAGTCTTAAGGTAGCCTTATAGTGGCCAGTGGGAGTGGGACTTGGGAGTAAGTCTGGCCACGAGCCGGACCGAACTCTAACATGGCTCGGCTTGGGTTGATTGAAATATACAGAATTCGATCTCAAAGATGAACTCATCTTGAACTTAAACTTCAAGTTCAAGCTTGGCTTGAAAACTTTGAGCCCAACTTGAGCTTGGCTCAATCAAGCATGTTCCAAGTTCCAACAATAATTACAAAAAAAATGTTTTTTGTTATTCAACACTAGAATCGTATCTAGCTTATGTAAGTCATGTTAATAAAATCCCTTATCTTTGTCACTCGGTTGATGGCCTTAAGGGAGTGGATATATAGCTATCTAATAAAATATTTACCATTTTTCTTAAATTCACGAGCTCATGAGCTTTCGAGCCAAATTCCATAGTTTTTGAGTTTGGCTCGTTTAATATTCAAACTACTCTGTATAATCTTATGCTCAAGTTTGGCTCATTAACAAACTAACCAAACCCAAACCGAATGATTTCCTTTATTTGTTATTGCATTATCCTTTGGCCTTAACATAGTTGATTTAGAGTAGGAAAAATGAGAATTTTCCAAAGTTGGGAATCTTGCCATTAACATAGTTGAGTCAGTTGGTGTCCATCTTAGCAAAGATTGGTTAGTGTTCAGAGACATTTGGTCCATTTGCTTTGATTCGGGTTTGGGGTGATGGGAGAGGATGACAGTTTTCAGATGGTGATTTAGGGACTTGTGTATTTAAAATCGTTTTAATGGAAAAGCTTATATACTGAAGAGTTTGAGATGTAAAGAATGAAGCTTGTATGAATGTAGCCAAACCCAACCTAATGAAAAATTGAGATTATGTTTTTGTCGTGAAACATAAGAGATGTGGCAATGTGGGATAGTAAAACTCATTTCTCATTGAACTGTTGTAGTACATCAATGTATTACGGTACTGACTCTTAGGTAGAGATATTTATACAGTGATAGTCAGAGTCATAATTCGAGTGATTTTCTTCTTATGTTTTTCTTTGAAATATTATTAGCTACTAGATATGCATTCTCTTAGATTTCTGGCTTCCTTTCAACTGTTCCCTGAAGATCTGATTATGTGACATCCTTAATCTCATAAAATTGTGTTATGGTTTACTTGTGCAGAAAACGTTTATCTTTCACATGGATGTTCTTCTCTACCAGTCAGCACCTTCTCATGTACGATCACAGTTGATAGAGAAAAAATCAACTTCACCGGGATTGCAGCCTTCTTCAGGGGAGAAAACGCAAGTCCTATGTACCCCAAGGAAGCATTATTTAGTGAAAAACCTATATTATCAAGAAGCTTCTGGGTCACTTAACTCTATTCAAAATCGTCAGATTGCACCAAGAGCTTTCAATGAAGGTTTTAGCAGGACTGTGGTTGGTGGGGAACAGAGTTTGGAAGATATATCAGATAGTGCAGATTCAGTGCCAAAGGTTCTGATCCCAGGGTTGCCAGATTATTCAACAGGTGAATCAAGTACTTCTGTAAGTAGTTGTTATTGGGAATGGAAACCAAAACTTAACGTGCATTATGAGAAAGCTGGATGTGAGAATGTAAATTCCCCACCAGTTCTTTTCCTTCCTGGATTTGGTGTTGGCAGCTTTCATTATGAAAAGCAGCTGAAAGATTTAGGGCGTGATTTTAGAGTATGGGCTCTGGATTTTCTTGGCCAAGGCAAGTCATTGCCCATTGAAGATCCTGCTCCTTTGTTGAAGGAAGTGAATCTCTCTAAACAGAAGGATGAGACATGGGGGTTTGGAGAGAAAGCCGAACCATGGGCAGAAGAACTTGTTTACTCTGTTGATTTGTGGAGGGATCAAGTGCAGTCTTTTATTGAGCAGGTAAACTATTCAATGTTCCAAGACTTCTGGATGAAGCTTTGTCTGATCATAATTTTATTGATCATACTTTACTAATTAGCTCTCTTAGATGATGAAGAGCTCAGATTTTGGTGCGTAACATAGATTTTGATGCCAATATTATGTGTCTTTTATTTTCAGAGTTTAATCCACAAAAACTTGTAACTAATGCAATAATGTTATGCTAAACATTTCGAAAACAATCCTCTTTCTCTATTTGGCTAGACCCAATAAGAGACGTTAGCTATACTTTTTTCTATGGAACTCATATTCTACGGTCTCGGTATGTAAATGCTGCTGCTTGCTGCCTTTTTTGGATACCATATATCATTTAAAACTAATTTTTCAGTATGTCGCAACCATTTGTGGCACTTTCTCCTTATTCTTGCATACAATTATCATTATTGCTTCCTGAAACCACTTCAAGTTCTTATTAACATCTAGCTTGGATTTAATGAACCCTACTTAAATGATTGCAGGTCATTGGTGAACCAGTTTATATTGTGGGGAATTCACTTGGAGGATATGTTGCAACCTATTTTGCAGCCTGTAACCCTCAGTTAGTAAAGGGTGTTACTCTGCTCAATGCAACGCCTTTTTGGGGTTTTCTTCCAAATCCTACAAAATCTCCTTTGCTATCTAGGATGTTTCCTCCAGCTGGAACTTTTCCTCTGCCTGCTAATGTAACTAAGCTTATGGACATAGTGTAAGCTTCATATCCCATCTCTAATAATTGGATTTTATGCAACTTCCCCTGGCAACCCCATATTCTGTTCATCACTTACTAGAATAATTTTTTAACCGCTGCTTATCAGTACAAGCTTATAAGGTCGCCTTTTGTTATTGTAGTTGGCAAAAAATGAGTGATCCGGAAACCATAGCAGAGCTGCTCAGGCAAGTTTATGCAGACCATTCAACAGATGTTGATAAAGTCTTTTCTCAGATAGTGGAGACAACAGAACATCCTGCTGCTGCTGCAGCATTTGCCTCAATCATGTGTGCTCCCACCGGTCAACTATCTTTTGACGAGTCTTTATCAAGGTAGGTACATCTAGATTATTTTGCTTGTATCTTCACCTCGTATATCAGTTTAGATCTCATGGCTCCAAATGTTGAGATCCTCTATTTTGTAAATGTGTAGATGTCGAGAAAGGAATGTTCCTGTTTGTCTCGTGTATGGGAAAGAAGATCCATGGGTGAAGCCCTTTTGGGGACAACATGTGAAGAAGCAACTTCCAGAAGCTCCATACTATGAAATTAGCCCTGCAGGTCATTGCCCTCATGATGAAGTTCCTGAGGTATGCCTCAGCTACCCAATTACTGTGCAGGCTTGATTACTCATTAATCCTGAATGTACCCTATTTTTTGTATCCGCCTTTCTAAATTACGGAACATTTATTCATTATATATGTAGGTGGTAAATTATTTACTACGTGGTTGGATCAAAAGTGTAGAATCGAAGGGTTCTATCACACTGCCTCTGCTTGATGATCCAGAGGCTGTCCAATATGATCTCACTAAGGACGTGGAATTTATCAGGGAAGGCTCTAAAAAGTTAGTAAGAGTACGCTTTTTTGGCTCACAGTTTTCGCTTTGGAAGCTAATACAGTCTCAGATCAAAGATAGATTTAGGAACTTAAGATTGAAACCTCAATGACGAAGCCATGCACGTGTTTTAGCTGCAACCGCTTGTAGATATGTAAATTTGCCTTATTCTTGTAATTGAACATACAGGATGTATTACTGATTAGTAATCAATGCCTGTGAAATTCGTACGCATGTGCAGATGAATTGCTTAAATGCTTAGTGTGATGAATCAGGGAAGAGTATATCTGTAATCTGTCCTAGTTTGTAAGTACAGTGATTTGTTAGGATATTATGTTGACCAATTGTTGAGTAGTCACGAGAACCACATGTGCGAAGCCTACATGATTTGGGCATAGGACTACTTTGAATGGAACTATTAAAAATATTTAGTACTCCCTCGGTCTCCTTTAGTTCTTTGGTTTCTTGGAACTTGAATGAATATATTGAATAGTAGTAATGTCTTAATACTTGGATCTAATTTTTGGTTCTCTTATCAATGAATTACTCGTAATTGAATATTCCGTAAAATATGTCATACTATCTCCATTTTATATTATTTGTAACGATTTGACATAAAATATTATTAGAAAATATCTAATTATTGCAAATAATATGAAACGAAAGCCGTAATTAAAATGTATACGCTGGATTTCGGAGAAAATATATGTATTGTAAAAGTTTAGGACTTAAAACTTGTTTGAAGCATTAATACAAATTGAGAACTCAACTGTCAAAATATAACGACCAAAAAACTGGAAAAACCATTACTTCAAACTTCTCATGACACAAATTTTTTCCAATCCTTTCTTCAAAAAATCTCTTGTAATTTTCCATGTATATTCTATACGATTATCATTCATCAATACAATTTCTACTGGTGAATTGAAACAAGTAGCAACCACCAAGAAGAAAACTTTTTCGCACATTTTCCAAGAATGTACTCATCAAAGAGCTCTAAATCCGGGCAAGCAAGCACATTCCCAGATGATAATTTCTGGGTTCGAACCCACAATCTTTGTTACCAATTGTTTGATTCAAATGTATGTAAAATGCTCGCGGTTAGGGTATGCACGCAAGGTGTTCGACCAAATGCCTCACCGAGATACAATCTCTTGGAACTCCATGATTTTTGCGTATTCTGGGGAAGGCAATATGGAAGTTGCGCAGCTTCTTTTTGATTCGATGCCGGAGAGAGATGTAGTGTCATGGAATACCTTGATTTCGAGTTATTTGCAGAGTAGGAATCATCACAAATGTGTGGAGATATTCTTGCAAATTGTTAAAGAAAGTGTGTGCTTTGATCACACTACCTTAGCTGTGGTTCTGAAATGTTGCTCATATTTGGAGGACTATATACTAGGTATACAAATTCAAGGGCTTGCGGTGAAAACGGGTTTGGAGAGTGATATGGTGACAGGAAGTGCTTTAGTTGATATGTATGCAAAATGCAGATATTTGGACGAGTCTTTGAGGTTCTTTTATGCAATGCCTGAAAAGAATTGGGTTTGTTGGAGTGCTGTTATTGCGGGATTTGTTCAGAATCATCAGTTTACTGATGGTTTGGAATTGTTTAAGGAGATGCAGAGACAAGGATTGGGTGTAAGCCAATCAACTTATGCTAGTGTCTTTAGGTCATGTGCAGGGCTATCTGCACTTAGTTTAGGTCGTCAACTGCATGCTCATGCTTTGAAGACTAACTTTGGTACTGACATCATCGTCGCAACTGCTACTTTGGATATGTATGCGAAAAGTCAGAGTTTAGTAGATTCTAGGAAGGTATTTAACTCTATGCCCAAACATAGTGTGCAATCCTATAATGCCATGCTAGTTGGTTACGTGCAAAGTAATCAAGGTCCTGAAGCATTAAAGTTGTTTCGAAATCTGATAAAATCTGACCTTGGCTTTGATGAAGTTACTCTGTCAGGTGCTTTTAGTGCCTGTGCTGTGGCCAAACAACTATCAGCAGGTTGTCAACTGCATGGTCTGGTTATGAAGAGCAATTTTCAGTCTAATATTTGTGTAACAAATGCAATTTTGGACATGTATGGAAAATGTGGAGATGTTTTTGGAGCAAAAGGTGTTTTTAATGAGATGATTAGAAGGGATGCAGTGTCTTGGAATGCGATAATTGCAGCTTGTGAGCAAAATGGTCTGGAAGAGGAAACTCTACACCTGTTTGTTGAAATGCTGGCTTGTGGGATGGAACCTGACGAATTCACTTATGGCAGTGTTTTGAAAGCTACTGCTGGAAAGCAACTTGCAAAATATGGCATGGAGCTCCATACCAAAGTTATCAAATCTGGAATGGGCTTCCACCCTTTTGTGGGAAGTACTTTGGTGGACATGTACTGCAAATATGGGTTGATTGATGAGGCTGTGATGCTTCATGACCGACTTGAGAAACAAAGCATTGTTTCATGGAATGCAATTATTTCAGGCTGTTTACAGCAAAATTTGGAAGATGAAGCCCTGCGAATTTTTTCTTTGATGTTGGGAACAGGCATTGAACCTGATAATTTTACTTATGCAACAGTTCTAGATACCTGTGCTAACCTGGCAACTGTGGGACTTGGGAAGCAAATCCATGCTCAAATCATTAAGCATGAACTGCAAGCGGATGTTTATATTGTAAGCACTCTCGTCGACATGTATTCAAAATGTGGCAATATGCAAGACTCTCAGCTCATGTTTGAAAGGGCTGTAGAGCGGGATTTTGTGACATGGAACGCAATGATATGTGGTTATGCTTATCATGGTTTTGCGGAAGAGGCTCTCAAAGTCTTTGAAGATATGAAGAAAGAGAAAGTAAAGCCAAACCATGCAACTTTTATTGCAGTTCTCCGAGCTTGTGGTCATATGGGGCTTGTTGAAAATGGCTGGGATCACTTTTGCTCAATGCACAGCTATGGATTAGATCCTCAACTGGATCATTATTCGTGCATGGTAGATATGCTGGGGAAGTCAGGGCAGGTTGGAAAGGCTTTGCAGCTGATTGAAGATATGCCATTTGAGGCTGATGACGTTATTTGGAGAACCTTGTTAAGTGTCTGCAAGATGTTTGGAAATGTGGAAATTGCAGAAAAGGCTGCAAATTCCATCCTTCAATTAGATCCCGAGGATTCCTCAGTCTACATTCTCCTTGCAAATGTATATGCTGATGCAGGTATGTGGAATGAGGTTTCTAGGATGAGGAAGACCATGAGGAAAAATAAGGTAAAAAAGGAGCCAGGTTGTAGTTGGATAGAGGTGACAGGAGATGTCCACACATTCTTGGCTAATGAAAAGGCTCATCCTAGCCATGAAGCAATAATGGAAGAACTTAATTTGCTTTACAATGAGATGAGAGAGCTTGAATATTTACCTGAGGGTGACTTTTCTCTGAATGTTGAAATTGGCTGAACTGCATAGACGAATTTTGCAGGACTGCAGGGAGTAGGCGATGATGGGGGAATGAATTTGAGCCACTGGATGACTGCTTAGTTGACTTGATTCTATGGAATTTTGATGCTAGGTGAATATGATATAATTAAACGAAGAGTTGATGGAATTTGAAAGCAAGGTGTATCAAAAGGGTTCAGGAACCTATTATGCCACAGAACATGATGTAGCAGAAACACTCGTAATCTTTTCAGGGAACTGCGCGATACTCTGCAAGCTCTGGTTTGGGATGATTTCACAGTCTGTCATATGCCCCAAAGGATATAGTTGATGGATCATTGTTATTACCAGGTCAGTTCAGTTATACCAGAGTTGGAAAGAGTATGCTTAATTTTTGAAATAAATATTTTGCAATTGTTTTTAACTTGAGGAACTTGTATTTTCATGGTTAAGTTTAGTGATTAGTTTGTTATTTAGGTGGTTTTTTGAAGACTAACATTATAAAGTTATATAATACATGACTGCTTTTGAATTTCACATGATAACATTCAATACTTCACATTTCAGACTAAGTTGCTGGTGCTCTTATTCTGAAAGAGGAATAATCTTCATCCTATAGCTTTTAATTAGTTTTAAACTGGTTCATGCATAATACTCCGGCCCCCAAATCAACACACTGTTGCTTATGGACATAGTGTAACCTTCATATTCCATCTGTAACGCTTGGTTTTTATGGAACTTCCCCTCCCCCATTCTGGCAACCCCGTATTTTGTTCATTACTTGTTAGAATAATTTTTTGACTGCTGCTTATGCCTTAAGGTCACCTTTTGTTATTGTAGTTGGCAGAAAATGAGTGGTCCAGAAATTATAGCAGAGCTACTCATGCAGGTATATGCAGATCATTCAAGTCAACTATCTTTTGCAAGTCTCTAACAAGGTATGTACAACTAGATAATCCTCCAGTTTTGATCCCATGGCACCAAATGTTTAGACCGTCTAATTTGTAATGTGTAGATGTCAAGAAAGCAATGTTCCTGTTTGTCTCATGTATGTGAAAGAGGATCCATGGGTGAAGCCCATCAGGGGCCAACAGGTGAAGAAGCAACTTACAGAAGCCCCATAACTATTAAATTAGCCCGGCAGGTCATTGCCCTCATGATGAAGTCCCAAGGTATGCCTCTGCTACCCAATTACGGAGTAATGTACAGGCTTGATCACCCATTCTAAATTATGAACGAGTTGTTAATTATATACTGTATGTAGGTGGTGAAGTTGAACTATTTACTGCGTGGTTGGATCAAAAGTGTAGAATTGAAGGTTCAGTCACACAGCCTGTGCAGCTCTGCTTGATGATCCAGAGGTTGTCCAATATGATCTCACTAAGGACGGGGAGTTTATCAGGGAAGGATCTACAAAGTTGGTGAGAGTATGCTTCCTTGGCTCACAAGTCTAGCTTTGGAAGCTAATACAATCTCAGATCAAAGGTAGGTTTAGGAACTTAAGATTGAAACCTCAATGACGAAGCCATGCATGTGTTTTAGTTGCGACTTCTTGTAGATATGTAAATTTGCCTTATTCTTGTAATTGAACATACAGGGTATATTACTGATTAGTAATTGATGCTTGTGAAATCAATACGCTTACATGTACAGATGAATCTTAGTGTAAGGGAGATCAGGGAAGAGTATATTGTAATCTGTCCTTGTTAGTATAATGATTTGTTAGGATACTATGTTGACTATTTGTTGGGTAGAACCACATGCGCCTAACCTACATGATCTGGGAAATGACTACTTTATAGAACGATAATTGTTTCATGCGTTGAGCCTCTCATCACAGAGACAGGTGATCTGACCTGAGCCGAACGACCCGACCCAAATGATCCTACCTGTGATCCGAAATTGACCCGAATACGAAACTGACTCGACCCGACCTGAAGTGCAGTTGACCCGAATTTGACCCGATACCCGAAGTTAACCCATTATCCGAATTGACCCGACCCGAAGTTGACTTGATACCCGAAACAACCCGACCCGAAGTGACCCGAAACCCGATCTTGACCCGAATTGATTGACCCGAACGAACCTGAAACCTGAAGCGACCCGAACTATACCCGAAATGACCCGACCCAAAATTAACTAATACTCAAAATGACCTAACTAATTTAGGGCTTAATTACTTTACCCGAATAAACACTTGTCGAAAATAACCTAAACATTAAATTCTTGTGTGTATAGTGCTGTTGGAATGTGCGTGTAATTTAGTACTCGTAATTCATAAAGAGTTCCACTTGATTAGGAACACTTGTTATTGTTATTATTACTATTACTCTTAGCTTCTTCTTTTAAGTGTTACTGTCCTAGAATACTTGACACATTTTCCATTTCGTCCGTCCAAAAATACTTGACACGTTACTAAATATGGAATGAGATCACTAATAAAAAAAATATTTTCATATACTCTCCTTGGTACCACAAACCCCAATTAAATCCTACATTTTTTCTCTCCTCACTACCCTCGCCTCCCCCACTTTTTGTTTTCTTACAATATAAAAATACAAAAAAGAATCCTTTATATAATAAACAAATGTTTTAAGTGAATCCACTTATACTTTTCTTAAACTACGTGTCCATCCCTACGTCCCAAGTATTTTGGGACGAAGGGAGTACATTGAATTTTTTTTCTACTATTCACTTTATCTGATTTGAATTTTTGACCAATTAATCAATGATAGTGATTATACATATGAAACAATGAAGTCGTGTGTGTATAGTACTGTTGGAATTGTCTAATGAATATTTTATTAATATTCAATTGTTATACTTTATACTTATTGATAATGATAATATATTATTGGTCAAATTTCTACATCGGCTTAGACAAAGATTGACCCGACCCGAATTTACTCGACCCGACCCAAACTTGACCCAAAGACTGACCCGACCCGAAGTGTTGACACGATACCCGACCCGACCCAAAACTGACCCCGAAACCCGAATTTACCAAACCCAAACCCGACTTGAATATTGATTGACCGGACTCGTACCCGACCCGAACGACCCGTTTGCCAGGTCTATATATGCCAGTCCGAAACAACAAAGCATACTGGTTGTTAGTGAATATAGATGATGAATGCATTTCTGGGCTTTGAGTTCTATTTTGCTCTATCTCAGTGATGAACTTACACTATCCCAATCTCAGAGAAGGAATTACAGTTGAGTAACATGTGCCCCTTACTGTTACACTATTTTAATTCACAATTTAGGCGGGGATTTTGTTGATGTAAAATCAAGCTCTGCAAACAATCAGACTTAAATATGTTCTTATGTGTAGAATGTATTTCGGGTCATAAAGGTTGTTTAGATTGGACGATTTCAACCACCTAAATGACTTCTCAGAGTCTCATGAAATCCATGGGAAGCATCTTCTTCTCTATCCTTTATCTCTGAAAAAGTCGAAAGTTCTCTATAATTAAAGGTTAATCCACATTTTCAGAATCTATTTTTCCAAAACTAAAGTGGGTGAAAGGTGTTTCTTGGGTCATAAAAGTTAGATTGGAAACATTATGTTCACTAGTCATTAGGGATGGCAATCTAGTCCGAATTCACCCCTAATTCGATCCGATCCGATTCGAAGAAAAAAATCCGAACCGAATCCGAAAAATAATAATCTGAATCCGACTTCGTTTAAAAAATCTGACTCCGAGTCGGAGGAGGGTTGTAGTCGGAGTCTACTTAGAATCTGACTTATCCGATCCAACTCCGACTTTTCTATGTACTTAAATACTTCGTATATTTTATTATTCAATTCATGAATTTATAGGTCTTTGAAGTTGATTATATATGGGTTGCTATTGATAATTGGGTCAAAATTAAATTAAAAGTTGGAGTCGGATCAGGTCAGAGTCAGAGGTTGGAAATTTAAGTCGGATCGGAGTTGGATTCTTGGAGTCGGATGTTAGAGTCGAAGGCAGAGGCAGATTAAAAATCCGACATCTTGTAGGGTCAGAGTCGGATTTTGCAAAATCCGATCCGAATCCGACCCATTGCCATCTCTACTAGTCAGTCCCAACAAGGTTTGTGTGGGCCTTGAGTCAATTACTTATATTTTGTCTTAAACCGACTATATTGATATTTTGAAGTGAAGTGGATGTTCTTACCACTCAAATAGCCTCTTAGGGTTTTGCGGGATCCACAAGAAGCGTCTCATCCTCTTTAACTTTGGAAAAGTCAATAACTCTCTAAAATTGAAGGTTATAATTCATGTTTTTGGATCAATTTTGAGAAATGTTTTCCAAAAAACTAAAGCTGATGTACGGGGTACCTCCCAAGGCCATAAAATTCAATTTAGAACCATGTAAGCTCACTAGTCGAGCACATAAACATTCGAGGTGTTTAATCAATAAAGAAAGGCGTGTCTTTAACTGACTATCCTTTTAGTTGTAGAAAAGTCAAAATTCTCTAAATTGAAGGTTATAAATTTATATTCCGTTGTTTTGAATCAATTTTGAAAAAATTTTCCTAAACTAAAGTGGATGTGATGGTTGTATCTTACTATCTTGTGGTAATAAAATTTAGTTTGGAACTATGTATGCTCAATATTTAGTAAATTAAAGCCTTGGGGTGGTCTTGAATCAATGGTGGGTGGTATATATGTAACCAGTTGTATTGATAGTTATGAAGCAAAATAGATGGTTTCAACAACTCAGATGATCTCTAGGTATCTCATATGTTCTATTAAAAGTGTCTCGTCCTCTATCTTTTTGGACATGAAGTAGTTGATAATTCTGTAAAATTAAAGGTTATAATCCACATTCAAATTTTAATGATTTTTTTTTTTTTAAAGCAAGTTTATGATGTACATGACTACTTACAATCACATTGTATTATTGGAGTAGTTGGGAAATCAACAAGATGAAGTTTAAATTAAAGAAGGATAGTAGTTAGCATTTAGCCAGAAAAAATGGCAAATCATTTGCATGAAAATCAAATTCAAATATAAAAACCATCCTATATTCTTATCTAGTGACATCTAAAGCTTACCTGCACCAAAATTGACAATTCTATATTGAAGAAATATTAACCATTAATTTAAAATAATTGAGAGTTAGACAACTTAAATGGATTTAATAAATTAATTAATCGTAATACCAATTGTAAGAAGAATTTAACAAAGAAAAAGCCAATCAAAGTCGAGACAAAAAGTAAACAACCCTCTGTAGACTGCAGGAGAAAGGTGAAATTGAGTGCCTTTTGACATTTTTTGTTGTTGATTTTTTTACCCAAATCTAAATTTTTTTATTCCATCAATCATGCAAATGTTAGCCCTTCTAATTGTACCATTTTCTTTTCATGATTGTGCTTAATACATCGAGAAAGAATATAAGGCTTAGCTTTTTAAATTGTACTTTGTTACAATATATTGCTTTAATAGGTTCCTTTATCTTTTTTTTTTTTTTTTTGTTTTTTATTTTGGTGGGGTAAAAGTGTAAAGCTCTCTTTTGACAAATTAACTTACTTTGATTGATCAATCACTTGATGAATTGATTTGATTTTACATCGAGTATTATTGGTAGACTTGGTAACAAACTCATTTCACTTTAGAATAGTTGCTAACAGTTTGACTATCATATTTATCAACTATAGTCAAAAAGTTAATAAAGTGAAATTATGAAAATTTACATTAATATGACTTCAACAACATTTTAAATGATAACATTTTATATTTATATATTTATTAAAAATGAACTATTGTCGAATAACACAGTTAGTATATGAACTGCATAAAGTTAGGGTGTTGCGAGTCTTGCGACTAATATGAAACGAAAATCGAAAATCAAGTTCCTTCGCCTGAGTCTACAAGCCTTTCTCATTTCAGTGCTCGAGGAACAACAAGAAATTATTGCTAGTGTAAACTAATATGACAATTCAATTAGGAAAGATCCATGAAAAGGGCAAAATAAAAAAACATTGACCCATAATATGGGTGCATCTTACTCAACATAACTTGAAAGCTCAACACAAATCCAGAAGTAGAAGCACGTGACCAATAGGAGATAAATGAGCTGTAAAGCCTTGATTATAGGAGGTGCTACTTAATCTCTTCACTTAATGCTTCTTGCTACAGACATAATTACTAATTTGAGTTATTTCACCTGTTTTCTTATGGTCTCCATAATTACAACTAAATCAAGAGTTTAGACTAAGGAATATATATGCATATTCTATCAAACATAATAAATTATGAAGCATCAAATTTCATATTGTATTGTTTATAAACAAATGTCATTCAGAAGCTAAAAATATAACCATTATCAATTGTGTATCTCCTAAAAAAATCAGGAGCTAAAAATCACCTATACAGATCCAAAATTTTCTTGAAGATGGTTTCATCAAGCATAGAGAAGGAAAGATCGTAAAATTTAAGAGAAGCTAATAGTCAAAGTACGAGTTTGTAATTGCATTTGTAGGGTGTCGTGTATTATGATATGAGTAGTATATATCACATTGGTTAATTTCCTTAAATATGCAAGCGATTGGTGTTGGATTCTTGACCACAATGAAGTTCATCTGTAGGACACTGATCTATCTGTATAGCGCTTGTTTTTCACCATACACGATGTTTCAAATTTCAATTTCTATGTATTTAAGGGGAAATGATAAACTGATTACATGCTACAAACACTGATTACAATAGTCGCACTCTACATCATCTAGCCAATGTTCAATCGAGCAAATCATGCAATAGACTATACAACAGCTCGCCATGGACACTCGGAGGGGACATTTTCCACATTGTATCCCAAAACTAAATTTTGAGCAAATAAATCTATCAACATTTCAATGAACAGGCTGCCTCAGAAAACAATGAAGTAATGAACAAATTAACAGCTGATGGAAACATACACAAAGAACACAAGATTAATCTACAACAGCAACATGCAATACAAGAATACAAGCTTATACTCGAGTTTAATGATGAAAGACATCCGAGATAGATGTAGTTCAATCACTGAATCTCATTAACTTGGTGGAGAAAACATACCAATCCATCTCACTGACCAATTCATAATCTTTTATTGTCCCTTATACTCCTCCGCAATTGAGAAAGACTTCCACCATCATTGTAACGAACAAGAGAAGAATTCCGTCCCATGTCACTATATCTTTCGCTTCCAAATCTTAAACTTGAACTATGTTTAGGTGTCTGCTGTTGTTGCTTATTCACATCCTCTCCATATTCAGAATCCAAGTCAGGTTCTGCCAACAAATCCAACAAATTGTTCCTGATCCCCAAATCCGAGTAAACCCTCCTCGGATTCTTCAATGGCTTTGCAAATTTACCATCCACATCAACCAAATTCCCACACTCCAATCCCCTAAACCTTGAACTCAAATTCCCATTTGTCAACCCAACAGGTTGCCCTACATTCTCCACCATCAAGCACGGATTAACCAACCCGTTCCACGAATGCAAAGGTACCAACTTGCTCAATCTATCAAGCGCCTCAACAACCTCCCTCATCGACGGCCTCCTCTCCCTATTAGACCTCACACATTTTGCCGCAATCACAGCCAATTGCTTCCTAACCATCTGATCCTTTGGAGGAGGGATCTTAGGATCATAAATAGCTAAAAGCTTCCCCTTTCTTACCAAAGGGATAGCCCAATCCACTACTGAGGGTGGTGAATACCCAATATCAATAGCTTTTCTACCACTTATAATCTCCAACAACAATATTCCAAAACTAAATACATCAGTTTTTGTACTCAAATTATCAGGAGTCACATAACATGGATCCAAATACCCAATTGTTCCGGCCGGGGGTGTGGACCGGAGTCGAAAATCGTCTACATTACACCTCAATGCAAGTCCAAAATCCCCTAATCTAGCATTATAATTTCTATCAAGCAACACATTTGCAGACTTTATATCTCTATGAATCACAGGTGGAAATTGTGAATGTAGGGTTTCAACAGCTTTTGCAATTTGCAATGCTAATTTAATCCTACGACCCCAATTGGGTACCTTTGAATTCTTGTGCAAATAATCATATAAAGTACCATTACACATAAATTCAACAACAAGTAATCTAGAAGCTTCATTAACATTATTATTAATTGCAGTAAAACCCACTAAATTTACAAACCTGGGGTTATGAATATTCGACAAAATGTTGATTTCATTATCAAATTCATCATTAAATGATGATGAAGAAGATTGTTGGGGTCTTCTAGAAGGTTTCTTGACAGCAAAAAGACGACCAGAAGGAAGAAGAGCTTTATAAACAAGGCCATGGCTTCCTCTACCTAGAAGTTTCTGGTCTGAAAAATTATTGGTAGCTGCTACAAGATCACTGTACTTAAATTCTGTGATTTTGATGGGTTTTTCATGGGAATTTTTATCTGGGATTACTTGTTTTTGTCTGTTGGAAGATGGGTTTTTCTGGGAATTTGAAACTTCAATGGATGATTCAGCTTTGCAAGAGAGATAACCCATCAGGAACCAATCTTTTTGGAGAAAGAAAGAAAATTGAAGAACTGGGTTTTATAAAATTCAAGAATTCATGGGGATTGTGGATTTTCTTTATTTTTTTGTGGTTTTTGTGAATAAGATTGGATTTTTATTAATTTTTTCCCTGTTTTTTTCTCTCTGTTTTTGGGAGCAGAGAGAAAGGGGAATGACTTTAATTTTGCTCAGCTGTTGCCTTTAGGAGGGGGGAGGGTGGAATAAGGTGGGGTACCATTTTTACCAAATTAAAATTCCAAATTATTTGCTGATGGTAGGAGTAATTAAGTATATGTCCCATACTCCCATTCAGTTTAAAAAAAATAGATGGGGTTTATTATACAAATTTTCAGGTGTTTTCGGGTACACGACATTTAACAATGTATCATCATTGATTCTTTGTAATTCATTGCTATTTTGTTGTTCGTTTGCTTTAATTATAACTGAGAATACAGGGAACATTAAAAAAAAAAAAAAAAAAAAAAAGTTTCAAAAAAATAGAATAAAATTCTATTCATCGGAATTAATTTCATGGAATAAATTTTACTGAAATGTTTCTGCTAGTCAAATTGGTGATGCTAGTGTTGAGGCTGTACTGTGGTCATGCAAGAGAATGATTGTAGATTTGTACTCCCTTCGTTCCATAATATAGTTTCTATTAGTATTTTTTTCATGGTATTTCAGAAATAGGAAGAGAAAGTGGATGAAATACATTAATAAAAGTGAAAAGTACAATTATAGACAAAAGTTACAGAGAGAAAGTGGAAAAAAGTATAAGGCATGTGCAAAATTCAAGAGTAATTTAGAAAGTCCATTGAATAAAGTTAAAAAAGTGAGGGTATAATGGTCTTTACATACTATCCAAAAATAGAAAGAGGAACAACATTTTGGATCTCCAAAATAGGAAAACAGAAACTATATTATGGAACGGGGGGAGTAGTAAAATATTGTGGTCATAAAGACACAATGAATTGAATAGATAATTGTATTTGTTGACTCTTTCAGTCTTCTGTAGCACTAGTAATTTTTTTTTTTAAAAAAAAATAAAAGATTCAAAAAAAGTAAAAGTATAATTTGAAATTGTTTTAATAGTATGTGATCCAAAATTGGTTTGATAAAGGGTGCAAAATTTTAGCATGGATATTTATTTTTATTTTACATTTCTAAATACATACTTCCTCTGTTCCACAAATATTGCAACAAGGATGAAATTACGCATCCCAAAATACATTTTATATAAAAAAATATCTATAATTATATAAGAGTAAAAATTATAAAAAGTTGATATTGTGAAAGTATTTTACGAGACGAATCTAACAAGTCCCCACATGACTACATTTTACTTTACGTAGAAATCATAATATGTGGTCAAACAAACTTGATGAATAGTGTAAAAGTCCAGTTGTTGCAATATTACTAGAACAGATGAAGTAATTTTTACACAATACACTTGAATTATGAATTGAGCAATTGCTTGAAATTGAAATCAAATATCTGATCAAATGTACCTAAAATTAAGTGTCTTGATATGGATTAGAAATGAAGACTCAACTTGGATCTAAGTGACCTAAAAATTAATATGACTATAATAATACGGAGTACAATACACTTGAATTATGAATTGGACAATTGCTTGAAATTGAAATCAAATATCTGATCAAATGTACGTAGTATCTGAAATTAAGTGTCTTGATATAGATTAGAAATAAAGACTCAACTTGAATCTAAGTAACCTAAAAATTAATTTGACTATAATAATACGGAGTAGATTTAAATGATTCATTACTAAATTAAAATTCATTTGAAACGAACTTCATTCAAACTACTCGTTTCTCCACACTCACGTATACTACCAAATCACCATTAGTTCGCATAGGAAGTTATATTAATAAAGCTAGTTACATATACCATCAAACTTTCATAGTCATAACCCATATCAGGAAATTTCCATACATTGTTGGCCAAACACTAGTTTCATTTACGCGCTAGACAAACAGTTTGGACGGACTTGACAAGAAGATTGAAAGGACAAGAATGTTTACTTGAATTTGCAACTTTGAGTTTGGTCTTTATTCCTCAGTTGAACAACCAGCACTAAAGTCTTGGTCAGACCATGCATGAAAACAATCACTTGTCTAAAGAATATGAGAAGTTTTCACACTTGAATCTTTCTACTAAATGAAGCAAAAGTAGTCATCATCTTCCATTGAATTTCTTGCTTACAACAACCTTTCACATTTCAACTTCCAGTTTTCAGAAATACGGAATACTAATTATGATCCATTATTACAGAACTGTAATGCACTTGATCGTATTTTTTCGATCCTGAGTAGATATCACTACGATAATGATGTTGAATATGTATTAATAGTTAGGCTTGCACTGTACTGATGGCAACCGCCACTTCCTATCGTCCTTGGTTTGGCAATGTTGCAGGGTCCCCAGCTCTCTCTAACCTACTGACAGTGATATCAGAAATGAATATGCTTCTAATTTGAGCTTGCTTAAGTGACCAAAGGAACTGATAATCATACCCTTAAGGAAAATGGTGGTCCAAATGTTTGGTTAGGAGTCACTTGCAAGCTTTATAGAAATATCCATTTCATTTGTACCAGAAATAGAGGATTCTTTCCCAATGTATCAGAAGGGATTAGCCCTAAGCAAAGAACACCAGGTTTCTCACTTTCCAGATGGAATCTGCCCTTTCGTTCTGGTAATATTATGTAAACAAATTACCATTGACAAAAGTAAACTACAATAAGGACAGACAGCCAGAGAGCATATTTTTTAAAAAATGTCACCTGAGACATTCCAGAATCAGACCATACTTTTTTGCATTCCATGCCCAAAAAGGCAGGTCCAACTAGCAGGAAGCTCTTCTGTATGACAAAAGGATAGCTGAAATGCAGCCTCGAATACTTTCATATTACTCATATACAGCTGAAAAACATAGGAATATAGATATACATGGGCAAAGCACCCATAATTTAAATTACATCTATTAAGGAAACAGGACTGCAATTACATCAGAAACCTGAGATGATAACAAATGAGAAAAGAATGCACACTCCAATGAGAAATTTGAGGACATGTCACTCCTTTATTTTCTTCTTCCAACAAAATGTCTAGCCTATTCAGTACTAATCGTAAGTTATTTGCATCAGTGTAACTAGATGAATTATCCATCTAAAAGACGATAGAAATCCTTAAAGAATAGGACTTTAACTGTCGCCAAGATATTCCTGAAGCTAATATAAATACAACAAAATTAGCTTTTCACAAGTTTGTAATAGCAATCTCGTCAATGGAGCAAAAAAAAATCCTGATACAATCACCAGAAGCAGTATCCTGAAAAAGTTCACCATCTGTATTAGCTTGAATCTGAATGACAGGCTGAACACTTGGAAGAAGCACTTGTATATCCAGTGTCAAATTTCAAAGAGCTAATTGGAAGAAAAGGAGATTGGAAAATGATCTGACATCAAGGTTTGACAGCTTAAGGTAATGATCTGACAGCCATGCTCAACTACCAGGCCCCGACACAAGTATGATTACAATACGCCACAATTAGTAGAAGAGTGTAGCAAGTTAAAATTCATTTCGGATGCTAATCAAGAACTCCAAAACATTCTAGTTCTTGGGCAAGCAAGGTCTAGTGAATGCTACAAAAACTCGTATAACTAATTATGTACCACTGAAGTAAAGGAAAACATGAGTGAGTTTCACCTTCCTGCCTTGAAATAACAATTTTTCTAACAAAAAGACCTATTTGGATCCAATGGCCATCCAAAGAGCTTCCTCCAGCAAGTAAAATACGAACTCATTTGCCTGTATATAAAAGTTAAGATTCATGAAATCTGCAAAAGAATACTAAACAAGCAGCAAAGTAATACAGTACTGTATATTCTAAAGAAAGAAAGGAATAGTTGAGAAGCAATATCCAAAAGGTTACATAATGCAAGCGTCCAAAAACTTGAAGATATGTAGATTCAACTAAACTTCTTAGGTAGTTGCCCTCAGAATCATTATGACTTCCTAAAATCAAATTTCAGTTTCCTTCAAAAAAAAAAAAAACAAAAAACCCTAAAATTATTCCCTACCAGTAAACTGGAAATTTGTTTTGGTCAGGCTTAAATTCAATGTTAATTTCTATTAGAATATAGAAGGAAGAAAACTAGAAAGTAATGACGATTGCTAGAATCAAGATAAAAAGTACTGTGCTTGAATATATACCATTCAAAAGAAACCGGTCAATTCAAAAAACAATCCTTGTGCAAGAAAAGACTTCCAATTATGAAGACCCAGTGAATAATACACAACCTCAAAGTGGGGGAATAAATTATAGTTCATATTCTCTTCGAGAAACAGAAGAGGCAAGTTAATTAACAAGGAAAGGCAAAAAATCAGACTAATTTAGAAATCCAGATAAACAAGCTCTTAATATATTGCAGTTCAAATAATGAGGGTGGTGAGATGCACTTGAGGATGCCACTATGCATAATCTCCAATGTCCAAGTCAATCGAGTGATCCTCCCCCTTTGTCCTAACATCAAGCCATTCAGACCACACTTCAGCTGATTATCCCCAGCAGGGCCACCTCAGTAGAAATCTGAAAATTAACTAAAAGGAATGCTATACCCTACAAGAGAAAATCAAGAGTTGAAAAGAGGCAGGTCAAAGTGTCAAACTCAGGACCTGAAGAATTCTCATTACATCCATTTCAGTTCCAATTCTTTTAGACAGCATCCATCTACCATCCAAAGAGACTATTGTACGGAATTTAGGACAGCCCCTATGCCTACCTACAGAGAATTTAGGACATCAAACCAAAAGGACAAGTCTATGAAAATTCAAAGGAAGCCTCTCTGGAAAGTGACTCATGAAACAGAGAACTCGTTGCATCAGAAAATAGTAGTAACCAAATAGGCTACTTAAGCTCATTAATGCGTACTTCTCAAGATTTTGGTTGTGAAAGAGAAGGCCAGGAGCTAAATCGGCTTGTTGGAATTCAGTAGTTAGGTTAAACAGCATCTCCAGACACCCCCACCCTAATTTTGGAGATGAACCTCAAGTACACCTAAGCAGGCTTTTTTACAGTCAAAAAACTAATTTATAAGAGTATTAACATTGGTGCACATTTTGAAATGTAATCAATTTGAATTTGCACTATGATGGCCATGCCGTTTATCCCCCTTTGTTTATGCTCATCGTAAGCCTTAAATTTCCTCCTCCAATCATTACAAGCACCTTGAAGTGCTGTTAAAACTGATACAATTCATGAAACAACCAATAGACAAAGAAGTCTCCTTATGAAAGCCCTATTATTGAATTTAAACATGCTACTGATATAAGGAACTTCCTGAGTAAGCACATGACACAGGTTCCACTAAAACAAACACAAGGAACTTTCAAAACTTAACATCTAGTTCATATGCTCATCATACACATCTACATATTTCGTTGGATAACTAAATTACATTCTCCTTAAACATTTCAGGGGTACATGAGCTTTAATCAATAACAAATTTGAGGCACTATCACTGGGACGACTCATTACTCAAATAAGGATCTTAAAACACAATTCAGATCATGGACCCATAACCTGTATTATTTTATTACCTAAACAAGGCAGCAGGATCCCAGCATAACAAGGAATCCCTTCCCCATGCTATCAATACAGAATAGCTCAAGTGTCCCATACTAGGACTTTGATTCTCAGCATACTCAATATCAAGGTATGGGAGCAGATTACCCAAAAAATCCCTGGGAACAATGTCAAAGCCATGCATTAAATCTTAGATTTACATGAGCTACAGCTCTCATCTTAAACAAAATTTACTTGTACATGGTATCTCTTATCTTGTGCATTATCAGACCTACGTAGGCTACCATCTAAACCAATTTAGAAGTATCGATTACCCAAAGGTTCCTAAACCAGTCTATCCATAATCTGCTTTTAACCAGCAGCTACTGACCGTTTACTAAAAGAGCATTCTTTGCTGAGTTGGTGTCAAAAACCAAAAGATGTAACTTCTACCATACATAGGAGAATGTAGTAAATTGACTTTAAAAGGTTGATAACTTGATAGTTTTTTTAAGGTGTAATGATGAAATAGTTAGTAATCATAGATTACACAATAGCAGAATCGCACTGGAAAATAGGTGAATCAAATAAAGTTCGTAACACTAAGCATTAATTATTCTTTGAAGTGGACAGACGATTTTTGTGGCTGATAACATAACTACAGCACCAAGCTTGAGAATTGTTGTGGTTACATCTAGTTCTTGCTGAGAGATACTATCAAGTTCAATTGCAATATATACTTCTATTTTATATTTGATTAGCATTTGTAATGTACTGTACATTTTAAACTATGAACAGAGGGCATAATTTAAAAGAAGCTGCATATGGTCCCCCATTATCTTTGAGTGGCCCCTGCTTAAAAGGATCTAGTGCAAATATGGAGTACAACTTAAAAAAAAAAAAAAAAAAAAAAAAAAATGGCAAAGATAGTAAGAGGCACAACAATCTACTACATAGTCAGAAAGAACAATCAACCTAGTTACCTGTGCTTTATTGGTGTCTAACCGCATAATTTTCTTCAAATAAACAGGTGTGTACATTCAGTTGGAACATATCCTTGCCGTAACATTTGGTCTGCCCACAGTTCAGCTTCAGCAATTCTACCATGCTTGTAGAGGCCATGTACAATTATGTCATAAGTCCATCTATTTGGTTGATACCCTTTGAAACACAACCGCTTAAATAATTGGCAGGCTTCATCTATCTTATTGATGCTTAATTTTCTCAACATCATGTTATAAGAGAAAAGATCAAGAGGAAAGCATTTCTGAATAACTTCCTCCAAGTCCTCAGCCTTAGAATCCAATGAAACATGGCCAGAAAACACATCAATTAATTGGCCAAGCATTGCACTACTAGGTGTCTCATTAGACACATCCCTTGAGCGAAGCCAAGCCCTGCATAAATCTCCAGAACGCATCGCATGCAACAGAAGTATATTGCCAAGGAATGATGAAACCTTACGTCCGGCTTTCTCCAGGTCATTAATTAATTCAATAGCGTCATCATATTTCTTTTCAGAGCAACACAACTTTACGAGCTCCTCATAACTTTGCAGGCTAGGGATCAGGCCATTGTTCCTCTCTTGCTTCAATATGGCTGTTGCAAAGTCTGCCTTCCCAGATTTGCAAAGGCCAACCACCATGGTATTGTACATCTTCCTTCCCACCCATCTTTTTCTGCTGAGGTCATCAAAGAAGCTTAGTGCATCAGCTATCCTTCCGCTTTTCAGGTAACACTTCATCATAAAAAGATCTGAGTTCAAATTAGGGACAATGCCAGTTTTCTCCATCATTTCATAAACTGCTCTACCAAGCTCAGGCCTTCTGGCATGCCCTGCACCATAGATAAAGTAACTCAAAATACGCTGGTCACATCCAAAGCGAGACAGCTGCTTTTCCAACAAATTCAGAAAGTGCTTCTCAGGATTATCCATTTCACAAACACAACGAATGGCAGCTTTAAACAATTTGTGTGATGGTGCATAACCTTTATCTTGCATTTCAATGATAAGTCTAGAAGCAAGGTCTCCCCTGCTTGCCTTATTGAAACCACATATCAAGTATGAATATGTACTTTCTCTGGGTGTTTTATTTAATCTGTTTAGCTCTGCATGGATCAAGTAACCATCTTCAACCCTTTTAGCTACACAAAGGGCTCTAATAAATTTCTCATATGCAGCGTTAGAAGGAATAAATTTACGTTCCAAGGCGAACATAATTAGGTCCTTCATTTTATCAAGCTTACCCTCCCTACATAATGCATCAGCAAGTACAGAGAAGGTCCTCTTGCCGGGAAAGTAACCCTGTTTCATTGAGTTCTTCAGCATTTGATATGCTTCATCAGTACTTCCATCACCACACAGAGTGTTTATAACATAATTATACACCAGACTATGTGGAGTAAGCCCAAATTCAGCCCTCATCTCATACAATTCGAGTACAACATCCATCATTCCAGCCTTGCAAAAAAAGCACAAAACAGCATTCATGGTCACCTTATCAGGCACAATTTGGCACTCCTTCATATCCAACAACAAATCACAAACCTCTTTGAGACGATTTTCCTTAAGAAGCCTACATATCAAATTATTGTACCTGAACACTTCAGGAATGTACCCTTCCTCACACTTTTTGGTGCGGAAAAATTCCACAGCAGAATCTAATTTCCCAGCTTGCACTAGATTCATAATCCAAACACCATATGCCTCTTGCAAAGGAAAAGCTCCCATCTCCCCAAACTCCTGGATCAACATACCAGCATGCGAAAACATCTTCTCCTTACAAAGTGCATTCACAAGAACACCAAAAATACGCCCTGGAAACACCTTATCATCATTCAACAACTCGCGAAAATACTTCTCCGCCTCTTCTATTTGACCCTGCTTACACAAGCTCTTCATCACAATACCATGAGTAACCACATTCTGATGCCCCCTCATCCTAATTTGCTCCAACACGACATTCATTACATCGAAACACCCTTCCTCCACCAACGAATTCAACAAAATATGGTAAGCAGTCTCATCCAAATCGAGCCCGTGAAAGCGCATTTTACCAAACACTTGGAGTGCAATATCAATTTTACCAGCTAAAGCATACCCCATCACAAGCATATCATTAAACCTAACTCTATGCATAGTTCTCTGCTTAGTAAAGCTATCTAACAAATCTACCATCATAGAAGTAAGCTTAGCACGACCCAAAATCTTAAAAAGCGAAACACAAGTAGAACGAGTATGATTAAAATAAGGTTGTCTACCAGCCCAATCAAAGAATTTCAAACAACTTAAAATATCATTTTTCTTATAATCAAGTACCTGTAAAACGAACGATTCTGTCAATGAAATGCCCATATCTTCAATTCCCAAATCCATCTTTCTTGAAGAAGAAAGATCTTCATCACTTCTAGAATTCAAAATCGAAAAAATCCTGTCAAAAACTGGGTTTTTGGAGGTTCTGAACCAATCCCGAAAAGTTGAAGCAATTTCTTTAGATTCTGCAGATGGGTCTGCAAATTGGTATCGAATTATAGATGGGTTTGAAAGATGGTGCGAAGAAGATGAAGAAGTGAAGAAATTTGCGAGGAAAAGAGGTGAGAGAAAAGGCTTGGTTCTGGAAATGTATCTGAGTTTTGGTGACAGCATAATTTGATGATAAAGATTGAATTTGTAATGGCATAAATATTGACAAAAATGGTGGTTTCTTCTTCTTCTGGGGTTTAAGATTGAGATACAAAAATGGTGTTTTTCAATTGGATTTTGGGATTAAGAATTGATTGAAATTCCTATTCAAATGGGAATATCTGATTAAGGAGAGAGAAAAAGCTCTGTTTTCTGCTTCTAGTGAGTTGCTAGAAGCAGGCGGTTCATAGGAGAAGAAGAACAAGGAAGAAAAACGAAGGGAGGAGGGAAAGTGGTAAGGAAGACAGATTTCGTTCATGTTTATGGATTCGGTTTGAATTCTAATGGTTATATGGGTTTGGTTTTGGTATTTGGATTTGGACATGTTGTACTGCTAAAAGAGGCGTGCATAGGGCTGTAAAAAAATGAATTAAAGGGGTCAAAATCCGACACGAGCTGAAACCGACCTAAATAATAATCAATTCAGATTTTGACTTGTATAGACAATTTAGCATGATTCAAGTTTGAAATAGACTTAACCTGACCCGAACACCCGAATTGACACCTCTACGTATCAATAACAAGTGTAATGATCGAAGTGGAATAATTATGTAGTTTTTTCAATCGGTATGGGGTACAGTGATTCTATATAAGCCATTATTCGATATGACCTAGAACTGATTTGACAACTCTATATTGTTGAGCATGACCTAGTAACTTTTTACCCAAATTGTTTTGTCTTAATATATATGCTCAGAGATTTGCCCCTCTTTTGCACCCCCAAAATCACTCGCCTACTTTGTAAAATTGCATAATTAAGAATTGATGAGTTACTTGGTTATTATTTTTATTATGCATAAGAACTTGTCTCGATTTTAAATAGAAAAATAATCAATAAAGGGTCACATTTGAAAAATTTTGATAACGCATTCAATTTTGTACTCTATATACGAACAAATCCATGATTAAGGCTGTACGGGATGGTACCGGTGCCGATTTGGTCATAGCAGAACCGGGTCGGATTATGGCCCGAGGAACACTTTCTATACCAGCACTAAAGTCATATCGACATATTACCCAAGAATGGTTTGCCATGTGGGCAGCTAATTTCCACCATGTGGACACCCGCCACTTACTTGACATGCAAGCCACGTGGCCTGTTATTTTCCTATGAATACACATGGTTTACTCATTATTAAGGGACAAAAATCTATCTCTCTCTCTCTCTTAAATTTTCTTACTTGTTACTCATATAAACTTGAAACTGACTTTATCATCGGAGCAGTTATCCCCAGATAATCCCCGGGGTTAGCTAACCCACGTTGACTGTGTATGTGCATAACTGAACGATAGATTTTTACCGATCCTAGATACGAGTTGTCAGAGTTTATCCGAAACAAAAGTCATCATACAATTTAATTAACTTTTGATAAAACCAATCACAAGCCCTAATTATTTACAAACGTACGGAGTACTACAAAATATAAAATTTACATATCATGATTTTAATCTTTCTTTATAAACCTAGTATATTTATCAAAAAAATTTGACCAAAACATTTTCCAAATTCTTAAGCTTTGTGAACAAGCTCACATGCATTTGGTTAGTAATTAAATGTGAAGTACATCGACAGAAATATGGTGAGTGGATCACGAACACAATAATATGTGCAATACAAGAACACAAATGTTCAACGTTTGACCAAACGTGCACAAATATCCACCCTCTGTTGGATGTGAATGCAAAGTACACACGTATGGAACTAAGATACTCCAGATTTTTGCTCATCAACTACAATTAGTGACGTTGTCCAAACACTTTAATTAAGACCTTGGATTACAAATTTACAAGCTTATCAAATTCTTGAAAGTGTACAACATTAACAGTTTTCCGCTATTATGGAGTATATCTGATGAATCTCAAGCCACTTCATCTCCTGATTGGCCAACAAAAAATGACAGAGAGATGGAGAAGAGAATAAATATATAACTACAAAGTAATGAAGAAGAAAAGGGCACCAATACGAAATGATTTACAAGTAATAAATATGATAACAACTTATAAAGAAGGATTTAATTGCCAGTCGACTTCTAAATGATCGCAGTCAAATGACTGCTTTAATTTTTCCATAGCTGCATATCTGTGTTGCAACAACAAAAGCCGGCCCTTATCCTCTAGCCCCTCTTTGTCTTCAGATTTCTGCCTGCGGGGCAATTTCCTTGATATAATTTTCCATTTTGATTCAAACTCGCAAGCTACAAGGAGGTTAACAGCAGCTCAGAACCAGCATGACCAAGACCAGAAGCATTTCAGAGACATGACAGCAGCAAACACAATGTTTTTGCCAACTAAGGTTATGAAGTTTCAAGCTTTCAGATTAAGTAAATAGACACAAAAACGACTGGTTGAAGCACCTATTGCTTTTTTAATTAAGCAGAATGCCATCAGATAGTGTATCTGATATCTGCAATATTTAAAAACCTCCAGAAATCTACTCACTTATCCGAAAAGGCAATGATTTTCATAATAGTAAGGTTTGCAGCACCAACAATAATCTTCATCACAAAATAAATGAACTACCCATTTAGCAAGTACAGTGTTATGTAAGAAAACATAAAATGGCATGTAAAGTTTCTAACAGGAGCAGATGGAATGAATCAGTGCATGAATGTAAGTAGATACCTTCACTCTGACTTTTGAAACCTTGCACAAGGCAAGCACAAATCCAAGGTCTTCCTGCCCGAGATGCTTTAGCCCCTCCTTTAAGCTCACCATTGTGTTGTTTCAGACTACATAAAAACACAAGCTCTCAGAAGATCTCTTGAACACCCAAAAAGAATACTACAATTCATGGTCAAACATACTCTTCGCCTAAGAAATAAGAATCAATGAGCCTATTCCAAAGCCTATGACAAAATTAGAACACTTTCAAGAGTCCAAATTTTCTATGAAAGAAACCATCTAGGACATTGCAGTGTCACCAATAGACAGGCTTTTCAGTTTTTAATAGAAACACAACTGAATTCTTATCTGACTTAGAAAACACAATACAGAAACTACCAATTCAAATCAGCTCGTGATCCTGTGCTCCGTTTTCCCTGCACACGCACTGACCTTTATAACTGAAATCTTGCTATAGTAGCACTACCAAAACAATTGAAACAAGCAAAAGAACCATGGCATTAGATTAGCAGTTTCCTACCTTAGCCATGCCTTGCCTTGGCTTGGCTCATGCTCATGCTCTCTGAAGTTGCCCCTAAGGTCAGCAAAGACGCTACTCTTTATGACCACAATACCATATATAGGTGTTTATTTAGAATGAGGCGTTTATATGCCTTGAGCAGCAGCGCCTATGCATTGGCCTTGTGTCTATGCCAGCAGCTACGCGGCTACGCCTATTCCTTTGACTGGAGAGCATATCTTTTACATGGTGTGATTCTTCGAGATTTTGCTTGGATATGCTAGTGGTTTTATGATGCCCAGAAGCACATCTGTTAGGTTTTGGAGGCAATCATGCGGTACTCCTTGTATGGGTTTTCATATGTTGAGAGTTGCCCCCATAATTGTGTGCTATAGCCTTTAATTATAGGCTTTGGTCAATTGACTGACTTTCAAGTTTCAATGTTTGGCATGATCATGGGTTTGGTGACTCGTATGTGCTTTTGGTTTGTGGATATTAAACTTGTCCATGAGATTTTAAATTTACTACCCTAACTTAATACAAACTGTATGAGCATATCTCTAAATATTAAAATCAACAAATTCTATATAAGTACAAACTGCCCTCAAATTCTCTGATAGCACTGTGCCAGTGTCTTAACTCTTGATAGTACTTTTTAATGTTCAATACTAGAGCATAAGGCGTAACCGCATACTCCCTCCGTTTTTAAATACTTGCTCCACTTTTCATTTCCGGCTGTTTTTAAATACTTTGCTCCATTTCCTTATTTGGAAAGTTCTTACAATATTTAATTCATTTCTCTCTACTAGTGGACCCAACATAAATCATATTTTATTAATTTCATATTCACTCTCCTTCAATTCTCTCAACTACTTTTGCTTTTTACAATTTTTTATTCTCCCACCTACCCCACTACTTCCATATTTAATTACTTTCTCCAATTTCTCCTAAAACTCTGCGCATGGAGAAATGGAGCGAGTATTTAAAAATGGAAGGAGTACTGATATGCAACGATCAAAACGACGACACAATCCAAGATATTCCGATCTAGTTCAACATTCTTATCATGTCCCAAATGCTGAGTATCAAATCATTGAGCAAAAGTACGACGGAGTATCAAATTCTTTGCTTTAAATTTCGATATCGGATAGTGGCATACATGATACAAGTACTAGTATTAGGTTTCAAAATATACATTATTCCACATGACAATCTTCTGCAATTTCAAATTCAGCATCACATGGAACCAAATTCTCGTCTTTTAATACATCAAAATGCAAATTTCATAAATTACTAACACACTCCAACATTATTCCTCAAGAAAATTACAGCCACACGAAAAGCACCAACAAATCATCATAAGATATAAAAGAAAATTAACATGAAATTCATATATGCAAAAATAACAACATACATACGAAATTCAAGACAATTTTAGAGAGAGAAAGTGGGTATACCGGCGAGAGAAGTCGGTAGAAACGCCAACGTAAGTCTTGAAAGGAGGATTTGTAGAAACGATGAGATAAACACACCAAGAGGGATTCTTAATTGATGATTCAATGGCGGTTTCCGACACATTTTCAAGCTCAATTTTGGAATTAGGGTTAGGGTTAGGAGTAGAATGTGGCTTTATAGATCGAAATGTACGGGACAATTTGAATTTTCTGGTCATAATTTTGCCCTCTTCTAATTTATCGTCAAAATTGGTTGAGTTTGCAGGATTTAAGGGCATCATTATTGGTGAACAAAAAAAAATGGTTCATGGGTCACTATCACCATTTCTCTCTCATCCACATCAACCCAACAAATCATTTACAATATTCACTCTTAACAATGAACACTAAACAATGGTTCATCATCAATACTCCCTACCCCACCTTATTTTATTTTTGTAAATATAATCTATTTAATTCATAATTATAATTTATTAACTCGATGTCAATGTAATTAATTGACGTATTTAATTTTTTAATCGTGATTACTAATTAAGAAATTATCGCGTTTTTTTATCAGCTTTTTTAAAAACTAATTCTTGTGATCAATATTTTTAAACAACAACGCAGCTAATTTTAATTAACATAATTAAAAAAAAAAAAAAAAAAAGAGGTACAAATCGTGATTACAGTTCTACAACTATAATCTAGTACATTTTATTTAAAAAAAAAAAAACAACTACACATCGTTTTGTAAGATGTCCTTAGGGATAACCATTTGTTGTAAACCTAGTTGCCTAAGTTTTCGTTGTTACCAAATTTATTCCATATATGTTCGACCAAGTCGTTTTTTAGCTGCAAATGAGTCTGTTGATCCTCAATCTTTGTTCTACGAGACAAGTATAAGCCGATATCCACAATACGATCAGTACGGTACTCGGTAGTGTCCTCATTAGCGTTGTCTCCAGCATTCATAAACTCATTGGTATTAACGTTATTTTGATACGTCTCTCGTTCATCTTCAACGATCATATTATGTATTATGATGCAGGCGAGCATGATATTGTGGAGTATGTCGGTATCCCACGCCAAAGACGGCTTTTTAATAATGGCAAAACGAGCTTGAAGGACCCCAAATGCGCGTTCAACGTCTTTCCTTGCAGCTTCCTGGTGTTTTGCGAATAAACGATCCTGACGAGTTTGTGGACTCGTAATGGATTTCACAAAAGAAGCCCATCTAGGGTAGATTCCATCAGTAAGATAATACCCATTCGTATAATGATGACCATTGACTACGAAGTTCACAGGAGGTGTTCGACCCTCTAAGACGTCTTCGAACACAGGGGATCGATGAAGCACATTAACATCGTTGCAGCTACCTGGCATCCCAAAGAACGAATGCCATATCCATAGATCTCTGTCCGCAACTGCCTCCAGTACGAGAGTTGCAACTCCTTCTCTTCCTTGATACTGCCCCTTCCATGCGTGTGGACAGTTCTTCCACTCCCAGTGCATACAATCAATGCTGCCTATCATGCCAGGAAATCCACGTTCTTCCCCAATACGTAGCAATCTTTCCATATCTGCGATGTTTGGACGGCGTAGGTACTGATCACCGAACAGGTTGATGACACCTTCTGTAAACTTTTGGAGTGCCAATCGTGAAGTAGCCTCACTTATACGGACATACTCATCACAAGCGTCTGAAGCACACCCGTAAGCTAGTTGTCTAACGACCGCAGTGCACTTTTGAAGTGGAGACAAACCAAGACGACCTGCCGCATCTCGCCTTTGTTGAAACCAGGGGTCATGTTGGGTCACTGCGTTGAGAAGGCGCTCAAACACATGTTTACGCATTCGAAACCGGCGCCGGAACAAGGAACTTGGATAAACTGGGACTTCCGCGAAATAGTCATTGTATAACCGTGCATGACCTTCTTCGCGTCCCCTATCCTTTCGGGGCTCAGTAGATTTGCGTCGGCGTTGCTGAGTGGCAGCTTGAATAATTGGTGGAATGTACTCATGCATTACGTGTTGTATCATAAGACACACTTCATTACGTTGTTGAACTCTAAGCTCCCTTCCCTCATCATCCGAGTTAGATGAAGATGAAGAGGAATCGGTTGAGCTTTCGTTTAAACTGTTTGAATTCATTTTGTACGTAAGAAATGTAAGATAGAGTGAGGTTTGCTAATAGTAACTGCAAACGATTTATGTGTTTGTGTGTAAAAAAAAATGAAAGAATGGTGTTTATTTATAGTGAACTAATTTGTAATTCTTCTTCAGAAATAACTGAATATAAAGAGACAAAGATCACATGGGCTATGACAAACAATGAATTACAACCACACAGAAATTGAATGGAGAAGAAGGGTTTCACATGGGCTATGACAAACACTGGATTAGAACCACACAGAAATTGAATGGAGAAGAAGGGTTTCACATGGGCTAACAAAGGGGAAATTAAGATACTGACACAATTATATATAAAGAGACAAATTGATATAATTGAATAAACAGAATAAGATCACATGGGCTATGAAAATGGGAAAGTGGAAAAGATCCATTTTACTGATTAATTGATAAAGTACAAACATAAGGAAATGAGTACAAGAGGTTGAACTGGAATTGAAAACTTATCACTACTGAAAATGAAGAACAACAAAGGAATTGAACACACTTAACTACAATAAAAATAAAGGACACTAAGCATCATTATTGAAACGTTGAATATTGTTCCGAAGTATTACTATCATTTCGTCTTCCCACTGTTCTCGGTTTACTTTCTGTTCTAGACGAGATAGTTGCTCCCAGTTGATCCTATATTGCTCTAGCTCAATTTTCCGTTGTTTCCTTGCCTCCTTGCGCTCCTGTATTTCAAGTCTCTTCATTTCTGCTTCGTTTGACACATTCATCGAATCCCCAAGTAGCTGCAATCGGCTGTTGAATGTTTCTAATTCCTTAAATGCTTGACTTGATGGAGCTTTACCCTTCAATCTCGACTTAGCCTTTTTAATACCTTCAGCACGAGCTACTCTCTCATCACCGACACCCACGCTGGTTGGTGTGGTAGGTGAGGAATTGTCACCCTCATCCCGTGTCCTCTTCCCACTACTTCCGCTCCCTACAGACTCATCCGTCAGTGGAGTTGAATGTGGACGTCCCACCGAAGGCTTGAATGTTTGTTGGTCCAAGAAAGACCGGAATTTGTCCCACTTCCTTAATTGGATCCATTCCTCGTAGAAGGTGAATCGTCCGAATGAGTTCTCATGGATTTTGTGGGCCTCTTGGATAACATCATCTTCGTTATAGCCACTTCCCTTTCGCTTCCGGGCCTTATCATAGCTTCCGCACCACTTTAACACGGCTTCAGAGATTCGCATCCACCTTCCCTTCAAACTACTAATAGTTCGTAGGGATATTTCATCTGCATTCGATTCCCTAGCAGCATCGTATGCGTCCAAGACTCTCTTCCAAAATACACCCTTCTTTTGATTTGTGCCGATAATTATGTCGGTGCTGGTGTTCATGTAGCCGGATATAAGAGCCGCAGTTTCTGATCGCGACCAACCTCTATTGTTTGAACCACCAACACGAAATTCCGGAGTTGATTGGAGTGGTTGCTGTAACATTTGAGTGAAGTTTTGATGGGGAGAAGGAGTTTCATTTCCCTCACCATCATCCTCGCATTCTTCATTTGCCTCATCTTCTTCAGATAAGACATTGCTCGATTCCCAAATATTGGGATTCGGTTGTTGTGACGGAAAATAACCAGATGCAGCACCATATTCACCGTAACCCATTGGTATCATGGATGGATGTGGGAAATTTGAACTGCTTTGAGAAAAATTAAAATTTTGAGGGAAATTTGGTGGATTATATGGGAAACTTGACTGGGGTATTTGAGGATAAACTCCAGAAAAATTATGGGGAATATTTGTGGGTGTTTGTGAAAAATTTGGGTGAATTGGAGGAAAATTGGCTTGATTCGGATCATATTTTGACCCAATTTTTTTTTCTTCTTTCTATTTGTTTTGGGGTTGGTATTAGCATCCATAATTATAATTTATATTTGGAAAAAATAAAAATTTAATAATAATAATAATAATAATAACAATAATAATAAAAATAATAATAACAATAATAATAATAATAATAACGATAATAATAATAATAATAATAATAATAATAATAACGATAATAATAATAATAACGATAATAATAAAAAAAATAATAATAATAATAACGATAATAATAAAAATAATAGTAACGATAATAATAATATTAATGATAATAATTAAAAATAATAATAACAATAATAATATTAATATTGGTATAAATAATAATAATATTGGTAATTATAGAGGGGATTTTTGAAGAGAAAAATATAGTAGAAAAAAATGAATTTTCAAAGTTGAAAAAAGTATATCAATATGGGTGTCTATTTATAGAGGGGAAAAAAATAGAGTCGTTGGTAATTTTTTTTTTTTTTTTTATTTGTATTTTGTAAAATATATCCGTTGTAAAATTACAACGGATATATTTAAAACAGTACACACGTGTCAAGCAGCGGCTGGGCCAAGTGGCGCGCTCCCAGCCGCTAATTTCTATTTTTTTTTTCTGACCTTTAACAGCAAAACGACGTCGTTTTGCAACATGAAACAGCAAAACGACGTCGTTTTGCATGAATATCAGTCCAAAATATTGGTGGGGCCCACAGCGAATTATTTCATGCAAGTGCTTGCTCCTGCAATCGAACCCATGACCACTCAACATGAACAATTAAAGAGTTTGCCATTAAGCCACCACCTTATTTGTTCACTCATTGTGAACTATTAAAATGTTCACCCTTAAAGATGCTCTAATTTGATAATTGTTGTTGAAAGAGGATGATTGAGTTTGGATGTGGAGGAGAGAGAGTGAGTAGGTTTGAAAGATGAACTCCATGAAAATGGAGATGGAGAATATGCTGCCAGGAGCTCCAGCAATGACAGAGAGAGGGAAATGGATTTTGACTTTGGTAACATTGAAAATTGGTTGAGTTTATACATCCTCCGTTTCATATTACTCCATAATTGACACATTTTTTGTCTCGTTTGCAAATGCATAACTTTATACGAGTATCATGTTATTATTAATCATGTAAAAATTATAAAAAAAAATTCTTTTAATTATAAAAATTTAGTATTTGGAACAAAAACATTGAGGCGAATTAAAAAAGACCTCACTTGAATATGTTAATAAATCAGAATATGAAGTTAATGTAACTTATATATATAGTGGTGGTGAAAATCAAAACGTTTCATCTAAAATAAAACGGATGAAGTATACTATACGAGTTGTAAAATTAATCCCACACATTGTAGTACCTAAAAATAAAATTGGCACTTCAACCGTTCTTTTTATTAATAATCACACATCATCTCTTTGATAAAAAAAATATTCCTAAACATGTGTATGTAAAATGTATCTTGTCAATTGTTGATTTTGGATAAAATATTTTTTTTAAATATGTAATGGAAGAACAAAACTTCACCGAGTTCACCCTCACTTAGTCACTTTGTATGAAGTTACTTGTATAAACCAAGACATGAACCTTGTAAGGTTTTTTATTTTAGGCCAAATTAGAAAATAACACCTGATAAAACCCATATTTTGATTATAACACCTAAACATTTCAAAGTTTTATTATAACACCTCCTAAAAAATAATTGGTTTCACCACCAGATAACGGAATATGTGACGGAAAATGTGTGTCTGCCCCACAAATTAGTTTACCCTCCAAATTTCATCCTCTTTAATTCGATTATCTCTCCTCCCATTGATTACCCAACTACTCCTCCTTCATTGAATTCAGTCTGTTAATATTGAACAACCAAAATTACTGTCCACAATCAAACCCTAGGGTGATTTGTGTGGTTGAGAAATTGAATTGCAAGGGGAGGTGTCAGTATTGGAACGAAACAACTCAGCGAGACTTCGTCAGCCATTTTCAACATCCAAAAAGCTTGGATTTTTTCGTCAGCAACAACAATAAGATTCCAAAACAAGTACCTTTCGAACCTTTTAAAGTAGTTTTCAGCATCTGATGATGTGCATTATGCCATTTTCGTGGGGAATGTAGGGTAATTTGGGAAAAAAAGTAGGAACCCTAAAACCAGTAAAATTGGGTGTGATTTACTTTGTGTACTGTGCGAACTTGTAATTAAAATAAAATGTGATTCATTTAAGTATGAATTGGTGTAATTGGTTAATTATTTACTTTAATTCATTGATTTTGGTGACCTGTTGACTGGTTTGTCCTTGTTTTGGTTTAAATATGTTTGCTTTTGTTGATTAAAGTAGTGCGTTTGACTGTGTAATGGGGTAAGATATGTTGGCTTTTGTTGACTTGCTTTGCATCTATTTATTGGGTAGATAAATGGCAAACAACCAAGAAGGATTAATTGATATAGTATTTAGAGTTGGGGGTGCTTTTGTTCCTAAAAGAGTGTCAAAATCAAAACATTTGCTTTGCTGGTGTGGTGGGTTATGTTATTGGAGGAGGGATGTGGTAGTGGATAAGATAGATGTACAGTATTTGAGGGAATGTGCTGTGCATGGGTTTGTGCATTATAATGTCCATGTCCCTCCAAACTACAGACTGTGGTATAAACAAAGAGGTAGGACCTTTAACACAGGGAGAAGGGAAATAGTAAATGAAGAGGAAGTGAAGGGGCTGTTAGAGACAATCAATGGGGAAGGGTCTGTTGAAGTTTTTGTGACTGCGGATGAACCTTTAAGGCCCATACATGAGGTCCAGGCCCAGTCCACTCTAGAAAAGGCTGAGAGAAAGGGGAAGAAAAGTTCAAGAAAGACTGTTCCAGTTAGGAGGATCACAAGATTTAACAAAACTGACCCTGATGTCAGTGAAAGGGAAGATTCTCCTAAACCTAGATCTAGACAGGAAAAGTTTAAGGGGATAGGAAGGAGTGAAGGGGTTTCTGCTAAGAGTGAGGGGGTTTCTGGTAAAGGGAAGTTGTTGGATAAGGGGAAAGGTAAAGCTAAATGTGAAAGGGTTTCTGGTAGTTGGAAGGTGTTGGATAAGGGGAAAGGTAAAGGTAAAGCTAAGGCTTGAAAGGGTTTCTGGTAGTGGGAAGGTGTTGGATAAGGGGAAGGGGAAAAAGAAATCTGTAGCTAAAGGATTGGTTTTTGAGGATAGTAGTGAGGCTGGGAGTGAAGATGAGTATTCTTCAACTGATGGGAGTGAGATTGACATAACTTGGGAGCCTGGAGAGGAAGAGTATGACAGTGGGGATGAGAGGTGGTTTGTCCAGAATTCTGAAGAGATTTTGGAGAAGGTAACAAGAAGTCTTGGGAAGCAGTTTGATGTACATGATCAGGGGGTTGCCAAGGATCCTAGGTCAAGGCTGACAGAGAACTTGGATGTGAGTAAGGTTCAAGTGCAAGAAGAAATTGAGGGAGAATCAGATGAGCTAAAGAGCTTGGACGGTTCATCAGATGAAGAGGACAACAGTCCTTGGTTTAATGAGAAAACTGACTTCATTAAGCTTGTTGTACTTGTTAATAGGCTTAAGTTCAGCAATGCCATTGTTTTGAGGAAAGCTCTTAGACTGCATGCCATAGAGAATAGGTATGAATACTATTTTTTGCACAATGATAGTAGTAGGGTTACTATTCAGTGTAGGAACATATGTGGATGTCAGTATCAAACAAAGACAAGTAGGATGCCTTTGTGTATATGCAAGGGTGGAGTGAAGTGCAATTTCAAGATCTATGCTACTAAGTTAGTTAGACAGCAAACTTGGCAAATAAAAACCATGAAGTTAGAGCATAGATGTGTGAGAAGCAGGGAGAACAAGAAGGTCACTACAGAGTTCATTGCAGAGAGGTACCTTGAGGAGTTCAGAACTAACCCAACATGGAAGGTTCAGCAAATCAGGGGTAGGGTGCTGCAAGACCTGGGGGTTGAAGTGACCTACTACAGGGCTTGGATCGCAAGGTGTAGAGCTAAGTTGATAATTTTTGGTTCAGCAAGAGAGCAATATGCAAGGGTCTGGGACTATGGGAAGGTTGTAATGAAATACAACCCAGGGTCTGGTTGTAATGTGGTGGTAGATGGCATTGACCAGCCTGAGCCTCCCTTGTTTATGAGAATGTTTATTTGTTTGAGGCCTTTACAAGATGGGTTCTTGAAGGGTTGTAGCCCAATCATTGGGGTGGATGGCTGCCACTTGAAAGGAGCTTACCCAGGGCAGATTTTAGTTGCAGTGTCCAAACATGGAAACAACAGCATTTTCCCTATTGCTTGGGCAACATGTGAGGTTGAAAACAGGCAGACTTGGGTCTGGTTTCTGGAATCCCTGATGTAGAGCCTTGGGAGTGCAGATGGATCAGGCTTCATCTTCATTTCAGACAGGCAGAAGGTAAAATTGCTTGTTTTTTTCTAGTCTTTATTGTGTCCTGATCTTTATTCTGTGAAGTGTGATAACTGTTTTTTGATGATGTTAAACAGGGAATGGTTGAAGCTCTATCTGAATTTGTGCCAAATGCAGAGACAAGGTTCTGTGTTAGGCACATTTGGGCAAATTTCAAGCTGAAGTTCACTGGATCAGTTTTCAAAGAGCTCTTTTGGAGTGCTGCAAGAGCAATACCACTTGTAAGTCTGTAGCTTAGCTTAGATTGTTATGAACAAATGTAGTGAACACTATTCTTGTTGTGTAGCTTGGATTGTTATGAACACTAGATTCAATGAGCTTAGGGTGTTATGAACTAATTTATTGAACAATGTTCTTGTTGTGTAGCTTAGATTGTTATGAACAAATTTACTGAACACTGGTCTTGTTGTGTTTGTAGCTTGAGTATCAGATACCAATGCAACAGATTAGGGAGCTTGATGAGGAGGCTTATGATTACTTGGACAAAATCCCCACTCATCACTGGTGTAGACATGCATTCAGTGACAGTTGCAAGTCCAACATGTTACTAAACAACATGTGTGAGACTTTCAACTCAGTTATTAGAGATGCAAGAGACAAACCTATCCTCACCCAAATGGAATGGATGAGGAGGTACATGATGAGGAGAAATAATGAGAAGTGGGAGGACTCCAAGGAAATCACAAGCAACATGACTCCATATGTGCATAAGTTGTTTCAAAGGATGAGCTATGTGTCAAGGAATTGCATTGTGGAAGCTGCCAGGGATGACACGTTTGAAGTGCAGCTGAATGATGACCAGGTTCTAGTGGACTTGGGAAATGGGACTTGTTCCTGCTATCATTGGCAATTAACAGGCATCCCATGTGTTCATGCCTTTGCATGCATAATGGATCAAAGAATTGATGATGAGCAGTTTGTCCACCCCTATTACACTATGGACAGTTACAGAGCAGCATATGAGCCTGCAATTCAACCAATGCCAGGCCCAAAGCACTGGGAGAGAGTGAACATGACAGAGCCTCAGCCACCAGCCTTCAAAGTGCAACCTGGAAGACCAAAACAGAAGAAAAGAAAGCTGGAACCTGGTGAGGGAACATCTGCAACAGGAGGGGAGCAGGGATGACAGGAATTGTGGTGGATTTGGCCACTATCCCAAGACTTGCAAGGTCCCACATGTACCTGAACCAACTGACCAGAGATCTGCAGGAAGGCCCCCTTTAAACTCACCATGGGTAGTTGACCAAAGGAAGAAGAGTGAGATCAGAGCTGCTAAGAAGGTATGCTGTGGGACTTGTTCATTTTCTTTTAGATTTTGTGATGCAATTGGATGTTGATACTTGTTTATTTGTGTTTAAAACACAAAGTGCAGTAGGGGCTGGTCCAAGCAGCATTGGGAACAAGACTTTTCCCCAAGAGCAACCAGGCTGTGAACCACTGAGTAAGAGGAAAGGTTCATAAAGTCAACAAGGCCAGCCAAAAGCCAAGCAACATAGCACCCCCTCTTCCAGTCAACCTGAACCCACAAACAAAGACAAAGTTCAGCACACTGGAGTGCAGACAAGGAGGGCTAAGCTGCAGAGTTCCAGACATGCAAATTTGACTCAATGATCTTGCTGTTGTTTTTCTGAACTTAAGTTTTAGGTGGATATTTTGAACATTAGCATGCAATATTTTGAACTTATAGTTTTGGTTTTAGGCTAAAGGAGCCTATTTTGTTAAAGTAATATTTTGGTGTTAGGCTTTAACAGCCTATTTGGTTAAGCAATGCAACTAATTTGCTCAATTACTTCAATGCAATATCAGCTTTTTAGGTACTTGCTTAAATCATTCCTTCCAAATATGTGTACATTAGTTTGCAAAAGTGGTTCACTGCCACTTATAAACCATTACAAAAGCATTACTATTAATGTTCATGCCTTAGGACAAATTAAACTTTAAGCATTACAAACCCCCCAATAACTAGCATCATTAATATGACCAAACTAATCCCAAAAGCAACACAAAGAACAGAGTGCTCTGATCTTGCATTTCTTCCATGCATCTCTCTGTTCATCTTCTTCCTGTCAGAGTTTAAAGCCTTGCATTTCATCTTCAGCCTGTCCACTTCATTGAGCAAACACCTCATCTGTCCACCAAGATCATCAACTTCCCTTTTGTAGTCACTAATTTCTCCCTTCAACAGCTTCTTATCTAACAACAAATTGTTAATCACCTCTGTTTGCCAGGCTGTCCCATCTTGTTCATCCACCCATTCAAATGCTTTACAACCTCTACTCTCAGTTACACGATCATAGAACTTGCATGTTCTGAACTTCCGACCAGGGTTCTCCCTTGTCCAACTAGTAAGCTTCGCAAAGGGAACACCACACTTGCACTTCTTCTCCTTTGAAGAAGAGGAACTTATGAAAGACATCTCCTGCACCAATACGCCATCCACAATAAGCAAAACCATTACTACTTTGAAAAACAATACAATTGAACCAAGGGAATTAAACAATCAGTCCTACAAATCAAAACCCCCAATTTATGGTTTCGATGAACCCTAATTTCATTTTTTCGCAAATTAGAGGACAATTAACACACAATGAACTCTAAATATGTACGAATTACATGATTAATACCACATGCGAACTGAATTATGCACTTAATTCAACAACATAGATTGATTTACACCTCATTAAAGAAAGATAAATTAGGGTTTTCTGCAGTGGTATTGACGCAATTACCTGATTTCAAATCTTCCTCCCCCGAACAATGATGCTGAATTCAAACAATTTCGGCAATTTGATTGTTGAATTCGCAAAATGTGAAGCCTAATTTTGTGTAACCAGATCAACAGTTCACCGTTTATGAAGGATATCGTAAATATATAAAGCACTTTGAAAAAAATAGCCGTTGCAGTGGGCCCAACTAACAGATCCTCTAATGTCATAACCATTTAGGTGGTGAAACCAAAAATTTTATTTTTTAGCAGGTGTTATAATAAAACTTTGAAATGTTTAGGTGTTATAATCAAAATATGGTGTTTTATCAGGTGTTATTTTCTAATTTGGCCTTATTTTTACTTTGTTGATTGTCATGCTCCTAAATTTACAACCAACCTATCGAAGTTGGAGATGGAGATTTAATTTTTATCACGACATTGATATTAATTTTAATGGCAAGCTTATCTTAAAAATAAAACATTAAATAAAAACGCAGTTTAAAGAGTGAGGTTACATGTGGTAAAGCATTAACGAAAATATGAAATGATTCCATCACTTTTACTTTTTTTTTTTTTTTTTTTTTTTTTTTGGAAGACCTCAACCCTTGCAGATTTTTTGGTCTGATATTTGCAAGCCGACACTTAAAATTAAGGGGAAATTAAGGAATCCTCAACCCACCCAAGTACCGCAAAGTGATGATTCGACCTAATGACCTCAAAGTTACAAGGTGAACTCCTCACCAACCATACCAAACTTGTTTGAACGGTTCCATCTCTTTGGCAAAACATTATAATCAAGCACAAATTCAATCAATACATTTGCAGCAAATCAAGGTGTCGTCCAGAACAACAATATGAAGTGATTAAATTCACTCCTATTGAGTTAGAACGTATCTTGCATGATGATATTGTAGGAGTGGCTTTGCCACGTTTAATTCCTGTTTAGTTTTTTAGTTTGCTTTTTCTCAGGGCCTAGCCCCTCGTGTACACCACAAAAATAAAAAAATTTAAAAAAAAATATTTGCTTTGTTCATACCAAACAACTAAGTAGAAGCTTTTTTTTTTTTTTTTTTTTTTTTTTTTTTTTTTTTTTTTTTTAATGAAAATCACTTAATTTTTAAAGCAACTCTTAATTTTTTTTTGGTGTTTCACCCGGTTCACCCTTTGGACTAATCCGGATTCGAAGATCAGTTCTAGGTGGTTAGGTTCCAGTCCCCTCCCAATTGTTGTTGTGGGGGATCGAACACACGATTCTTCTTACCAAGTGTAGTCCCAATCACCACTACACCAACAGTCAATTGGTAAAGCAACTCTTAATTTGGCAGTGATAATAAATAATTACATTGAAATTGTCCTTGACATTAGCGAAATGTAAGGTGCTTCTTATCAAAAAAATTCTATTGCAAGCCAGACAAGCTACCATAATTCAGGTGTCGGGGTCGTGTTCAATGAGATCAAGTCTATTTTTAAACTTGAGTTATAATAATTTATTATGTCCATGTAAGTCAAAATCTGAATCGGACATCTTTCAGATCGGTTTTGGATCGGATCGGGTGTGATTATAACACCTCTAAGTCCATAAACCCAAATCGAGCCACCTTAACTACAACACTATATCAGAGTATCCATCAATTTCACGTTATAGGTAAAAAGAAAAAGAAATCAATAATATAATATTTTGATGAAACCTGAAGTCATAATGCTACAAAAGTTTTTGGAGGGTAAATCAATCTAAAGAAATGTACTGATGATGTCCTGATATCTACCTTTCTACCTGCCTCAAGCCAAAAAAACTAAAATAGAAAAATTAATACACCACTGAGAAGACAGTCGAAGGGCTTTGTTTAAGACCTATGATATATTGAAAAAAGTAACAAAAAGACTCTTATATCCCAACCCAGGAAAAAACGAATGCTTGTATACATGGAGGGAAAAATCAGTCCCACAACGTAAACTTTCCAAACATAGACAAGATTCTGATTCCGCTGTTCTAACTCATGATCTCACACTCTGCCTAGTCTTAATCATTCTCTTTAGATTCCCTAGCCATAGGCTGCATTCATCCCATTCACTTGTAGTAAGGAGTACCTGAACCGAAACAAGAAATGAAAGCATAATAATGAATCGTAATTTTCACCAGCTTTATATCAGAATAAGTTTAGTCAGTTAACGAGAGGATACCTGGATCTGTAAAGCAGTGCTATAATCACCATTATCTAAAGCCTGGCAGAGTTGAACAAGCTTCTCAGCAGCATTCTGAGATATGTCTCCAGTGTTGAGCTTTGCAAACAAAGCACCCAACTTCCTTGAATTATCTTCTATTTCCCGCTTCTTGGCAGGGACTGCACGAGCACCACCAAGCGCTTCTGATGTCTCGTTGAATAACCTTGTCAATGTAGTAATAACAGGCTTCTGGAGAGCTGCAAGAGCAATTAAAAAAACAAATAATTCAGTTATTCAAGAATCAGTTGAGTTAAACTTTTACATTTCAATTTTGCGGATTACCTACAATGGTGGAAGTACCTAACTTGGAATGTTTGCTTGATTACTTAATAGCATTAAATACAAGTACATCAAGTTTTGTTGCCTCAGTTTCATATCTAAGTAAACTTGCCTTGAACAGAGACAACAAGTCTCAGCTCATTGAAATAAATGTCATCAAATGATGGCATTACAATCCATGAGACTCTGAGAGTAACGCAGATATACAAGTTTCCATGAGGAATAATAATTGAAACAATCAAATGATGGCATTATAATCCATGAAAGTATCACAGATGTAAAAGTTTCCAAAAGGAACAATAATTGAAACACTAAAGTTTCATCATCAGCATAAAAAGGTCATGCATAGCTGTATATGAGCCCTAAAAAAGTCTATGACACAATAAAGTTCACATCCTATCCACAGCATCGAACTAAGACTTAGAAACACTCTTCATAGATTCTATAGAATAAAACGAGAGTGACTACATGAAATGCTGAAATTTCTGGCAAATTTTCCACAGTTCAGTAAAACTAAAGGTCTTGTATAAGCTTTACTCTAAAATCATAAACCACTAATGTACTCCTACAGACTACATTAACTATTTTAAACCTGCAAAAAAACACAAAATGTAAATGACATTACAAAAAAATACAGCTTATCTCCTTCACCCAGCTATGGCTTAAGTTTGACTTTTGACACCCTTCTAGCCCATTAATTTTCACTCATACAAATAATGCATCACAAGATTAAGCAACCATTATTTCTTTGAACAAAAGCAACAATAGTAAACAAAGAATATAATTAAAGTTAATGGGATACAGAATTACAAAGGTCGGCCTTAATGCAAATGAACATCTAGTTACAGGAAAACTTTAAATTACCAGGGACATTTGAAGTATCTACAGTTTGAACTGTTGGTGGGGGAGCTGGAGGTTCAACAGCAGTCTGTGCAGGTGCAGACTGACTAGGACTTGATGGTTGTGTTGAACCCATCCCAGGTCTATGAGGGACAGCAGTAGGGCTGTTCACTGGCATAAACCCCCTTGGGTTTGAGGTAGGAGCCACAACCTGAGGCATCCTTGGACCAGGGATACCTCCCATGGGAGGTGGAATAGAAGCCATTGAACCAGGTCCTGTTGGTCCAGATTGATAGCTGGAGTTTGTAGAAGATCCCTGCATCATGCTTCAAATGTTACAATAAGACAAATTCAACAAGCCCTTCATATGAAAAAGAAACAAGACAGGAATGCACTGACTGGATAAAGCTGAGAACCCAATGTTGGAGGCTGTTGATATTGCTCTGCATTTCTCAAGGCTGGGGCAGGAGCTGGGAAAAATGGTCTCACAGCAGGTTGAGCACTGACGGGGGGAGGAAAGTTTGGCTAGAACGAAAACAAAAGAAATCCATATTATGACCAGCTCAATGTCTAGCAGCTTTAAGAAAATATAGATAGTGTAGCATGGAGGCTAATTATCTCTAAAAAATTTAAAATTTATATCTGTGCAAAACCAGCTGCACAAAAAACAGTGTCCAATCACATGAGTATGCATGTCTATGGTCTAAATAACATAATTCAATTATATTCAAGAACTTACAAAGAAAATATTTTTCCAACCATACATTTCACAAATATCAAAATGGTAACATTTGTTTAAGGCAGGAAAAAGGTATATTGACATCAATAATGTCACCGGAAAAATGCCTAGTCAACAAGAAGACAATGCCTTTAGACTAAAAATGTGAAAAGAAACAATCATCACTCAAAGACTAATCATACGACAACAATAGGACTCCTCAACCTGTAAAATGAGCCTTTTATATATAACTAACTCCCCCCTTCACCCAAAGGCAACTGGCTAAAAAAACGTATATAGTTATCTCAATTCTAGTTTTCAACAAAAGAAAGTGATATACTAACAGATAAATAACATGACAAGCTGATAATGAGCATATAAAACAAACATCAGAATTCTCAAACAGTGTGCTCTATCAATACCAGGAGTCATGAACCAAAAAAAAAACCTGAGGAACTTGTGGCAATTGAGACGGAACAAAAAGATTGGGTTGTGTTGTTGGCTGATAAGATGCTTGGGGTGCATAGCTTCTATCATATTGATAAGGCTGCTGATAGTTCCCACCATAATGACCAGGACCAGCACTAGGCTGGACATGAGCTGTAGCAGTATCCTGTCACATAAGGAAGGGTTAAATAAGAGAAACATAAACTGCTGGTTTGGTTATAGCAAGCAAACGCTGGCCAGTGCCGTAAGAAGGATATACCAAACATAGGAAAGTGAGGGAAATTACCTGGTAATATTGTTGAGAACTGTTAATACCATAACTGCCAGGATCAGCACCATACACAGCTCCTGAGGACACTTGTGGATTCTCATTAGTCATAACCTTTTCTGCTTCTTTCTCTAGAAAAAGAATGATGTGTATCAAAAACGATTATAAAAAAAAGGGAAGCTGGGATATATGAGAGAACAGGAACATTCACCACAATAAAGTCCCTCATTATTTCGTTGCAACTAATACATTCTTCCCCCAACTGATAAATTACAAAAAAAAAATAAAAAAAAAAAATACCAAACATTTAGAGCACATTATACAACATGAACTACTGGCTCCACAGCAACAGAGAATAACAGAAAAACGAAACTACACATAGTATATTCAGTAGCTCCAAGTTTCAGCCATAAGTTACTTTAATGCTGTCTTCAGCCCTGTTCTATATCTTTGTGCTTTTAGGTTTATCTTGCTCTCCAGCTCTTCCTCTGTCTATGAGCCAACCAGTGCCACCTAGGCCCTCCTACATATATGGTCATTGGCAAACATGGCTTAAAATAAAAGAGAACAAAATAAGTGAACCAAGATATAATGTATCTCATTTCTCCCTCTTCCATTCTCCTCCAGGTCCATTCCCCATTTTCTAGGTAGACAGCAACCAAGAAAGCTAAGTCAGAACCTCCATGCTTCATCAAAAAAACATGTACCGGTCAAGCAGACCTGGTCACCCAGGCATGGCTGTGCTAGGGTCAGTCAGTTTGTGGCGTGACGCCGTCCTACTAAGGAACCAAGCCAACATATAGCAGAGACCACCGTCATCTTATCTAATTATGTCACTCAAACACTTCAATTAAGTAACCATGTCACTCCAACATGGATATGGACACTTTGTCACTTGACTTTGGGACAATATGATGGAAAAGTTTCACAAAAATAGCCAAATTAAACACCTAACTGTGTCCAACACAAATACCCTAGTCCAAGTAACATAGGTCCTATGTCCAACTCACCTCAAGAGCCGCCATGTGTTTTGAGTTCTAAATCCCTACATGTGCTGGCCGGCAAACCACCCGCCATGCTTGAGCTGGTTTAAAAAAACCGCCCAGGCACAGCAAAGGGGAGGGCTCAAGCAAATTAGATTGATTTTTGACTGATTTCAATTTGACTTTCACTTTCACATCACAGAACTTGGAAACATCTTCTATACTAGTCGCAACCATTGTTTTAGCATTTGCAATAGCCAATAGGAAGACCCATGGTCGTCAGGGTCATGGATTAATGGAACCACAAACCACTTCCAAAAAAAAATTATCATCATTATGATCTAAAGCTCTAAACTGCATGTATCTTGCAGAAACACAACATGATTTCTCCCAAAGAGAAAGAGCACATCACCCAGAAAAAAGAAGACAGCACTGACAGGAATCAGAGCAACAACCCCAAAGCTGCTGCCTGCACAGAAAATTGGCCAAAAGTTTTTAAAAAAATTAATATACCTGGTTGTGAAGATAATGCAATGCAGTCTCTCAAGATGACAAGCTCAGGAGATATATCTTCCCCCAAAAGCTTCAAGAACTCCATTGCGGTAGATAATTGCCCTTGACTGGCCAAAATTTCAGCATATTTTTCAACCAGTTTGCACAAGAATGAACTGAATCGCTTTTGTCCAGAGGCTAAGGCAAAAACTATTGTCTTTTCCATTAGATCCTGCAAAATAAAAATATAAAAAGAAAATATGGAAATACTTATCACTAAATGTTCAAGGAAAACCGCTTTCAATTGCGAGTGACAAGCAAAAAAATTACCTGTAGACGATCAACATACGGCTTTCCCTCGGGCTCTACTGATAGACAATGCGACCATATCTCCACAGTTTTGTCGATGTTTCCAGCACAGATATAACAAAGAGTTGCAGCCAATGTGTTCCCAGCAACAAAGAGTTTTGAGGCAAGTGTGTCACATAGCGTTGTCCACTCCTCACCTTGTGCAAACTGCCACAAGCAATTAAGCAACAATGTTCATGTTGCATACTTGCATAAGTTACTGAAGTACATATGGTTCACAATATTCCTACGATACCAGCCCAAGTCATACTTCACTCATTTAAGGAAATTTATTTTGCTAAAAAAAAAGGAAAAAACAATCCTGGGGACACTACTATATATATATTATTCAAAATACCAGGTATAAAGGCCTTATTAGCATTTTTCATCTTTTTATGCTATCTGAATTCCTATGCAACCCTACATAAAATATACAGCAATATATGGAAGGTCAGGTAGCTTACAGAGCAAATAAGAGCCAATGTCTCCTTCCATGATTTCAAAGGTCTAGTGTTCACAAGGCTCATGAGGTCATGATTAACCATTGCAGAAACAACCTGCCATAACAAACCCCAATATACATTCAGAATTCAGGTATATGACAAAAAAAATTACAACAAAGATTACTAAAATAAGTATATCATCCATCAATCAGATCCAAAAGATATAACAAGGAAACTGAGACAAGCACTATTATAAAACACCTTGAGATAAGGCAAGCGACTAGTCTTCAGGTACTGATCACGAGTACTTTCCCACAAAGAGGCACTGCCAACATGAGCAATCACAAGGGCATCAGCCATTTTGTTTGCAGATATACATAAAGCAACTGCCTCCTTGTAGTCTCCAACTACCAAGGCACGCTGAACTGCATCATCAAATGCTGGATCAGTACTCTCTTCAAGTACATCAGATTCTGCCTGTTTCGGCTCCTCACTTGCCTCACTTGGTACAGCTTCACTAACAAAGTTGTTGCTAGCACTTGATACTGGAGTTTCAGCTTTCGGGCTAGGAAGATTATTAAAAAAGTCTTCCCCGGTGTCAAAAGAGAAAGGAGCAGATTCCTTCTCAGTTACAAAGCCCTCTTTATCTGCACCATTGTCTTCAAGCCCAAGGGCATTGACTTGCTGAGATAATTCATCTTGAACAGTCTCTTTCACATCCTCTGGCATGCTGAAACCTAGATGTGCAAGAAGCTTTGATCGTGCTGATCCATCATCTTCAAACATAACTTTCAAAAAGCCCCAAGTTTCCCTATCATCTTCAGACCTGCATATATGCAAGAGCACGCCCAACCAAAAAAAAAAATATATTAGCAACAACACATCCTGTTTAATAGAAACATAGATAACTCCATAATTAGCCCGGAAACATACTCAGACTCTTGTGATTTCTTTTCACATAAAGCTCTCAGAGAAGATCTTTCTCCCTTTTGGATGGCAGCTTCAAATTCAGATGAACGACTCACCAAACTATCTTCAGTTACCACATTATGGACATAAACCTAGATAATAATGAAGAAGTTATCAAATGCAATCATACAAATAAAGCATAAAGGCAGCGGAGAAGTCAGTACCTCCGAAGATCCTCCTGGTGCACCAGCAGGTGCTGCTTTCGGATGAAATGAAACGAGCTTTCCTCCAAAACCAAAAGAAACACCAACTGGTCGTTTATACCATTTTGGAGCTCTCAAGGGTGCTGCATAAATTTTACAGTAGATTAAATATAAGAATCCGAAATAGATATAAAAAAAACCTATAGAACATAAAATAGGGACACTATGGCTGATCTAATAGCATTACAAGCAAAGGACAGAAGCTTATTCAAGAGATTATACCAGCACCAAAATCAGTTTCTGAAACCCCGTAACGATTGCAAGCCTATGAACCACAAAAGGAGAGAAATCAATAAAGTGCAGGTCAGTCAAGAAAGCAAATAAAAGGTACAAGAAATATGATATGTCCAGCAAGAGAATGCTTTGAAGATAGAAAAACCATAAATAGAGTAAGCTAAAAACACAAAAGAAAGTTACAAAATTATATAAAGTACAACCACACTCGGATGAATTCGTTCAAGAAGCTTTCAGCCAGGCAACCCAGGGCAAGATGAGATATGACTTACTGGAACTTCATATTTAATGTTGGCACTTAACTAATTCAAATCACGTTACACACCAGTTGTCAAGCAACTTCATGACACCAGCAATATCCTTACATCTAATCTACATCAATATAAGACCGGCTAAAGTGACTGAAATGAGGCACTATTTCCATACAATTTTCCCTGACTTGTGAGGTTCTACGAGCAACTCCAATGGTTTAATTATAAGTACAATAAAAATAAAATGTCTAGCTACATGCTTGCCATTGGAGAAGAAAAGAATGAGCAACATGCAAGCTATTGTAGCCCAAACAAGCTACGTTGCTTGATTAGATAAGAGACAAGTAAACTCCGCTCACATTGTGACATGTGAACAACTTTTAAATTTTTTTTTTTTATATTTTATTTTTTGCAAGCTACAAGGCCCTCGTAGCTTACCATTGGAGATGCTGTTAGGATTGCAATTTTAAATCTTAAACCAGCTACAGAGTAAAAAAAATCCTCTGTTCAAAAATGAAGACATTTAACCACTTTTACTCGTATTAACTTGGTAAAATTTAATTAAATAGCATTGGTACATAATAACAATGCACTGATATTTGATAATCATATCATAAACTGACATTAATATTGCATCACTATTGTAAAAATGAATAGCGTTTTGATACCTAGAAACAAAAAGCTAAAGCACCTTTATATCTTAAAATGGATGGATTAAATCTAAACCTTTTTATATATCTACAAGTGATTTGTTATTTCTACATCCAGATCTTATATTTCTAGTCTTCTGCTAAACAAGGTCAAATACTTCAAAGCAGGGAGATCCACGGAACAAGCTATAAGCACATACCTCAATATTGTACAACCCAATTTTTCCATCAAACGAAGACGCTGATATGACCCCTGGTATCTTTGGGTACCAGTGTACATCAAAATTCCAGTTAGTGCTAGCAGGCAATTCACAGACTATCTGCAATAGTTTAAGACAAGAACACCACAAGGCATAAGAAACTGACATCAGCTGAAACCACCAGATTATACAAGAGAATGGTGCATGTCCGGAAAAATAAATAAATAAATATGTAAATAAAAAAAAGTCAAACCTCTCCAGTAACAGTATCCCAACAAATTGTACGGTTATCCTTGGCACATGTAAGCAAGTAGGTGCTGTCGCTGGGGGACCATGCCATTGAAATTACACCTATTTCATTGGGAAAGAACAAAGTAGATATAAGCATAATAAGCACCATATCTTTACAAATTTTCTAAAAGCTGCAAGCAAACAACGCAGGAAGCAGGAATAGATGGACTTTTTAATTCTCAGCACAAAAATAGTTATATTCAATGAGGACTTATATTCAACATATCTCTAAAAGTAGCATTACCGAATTGAACAACAGCTTTAAATTACATGGAAAGTGTAGATAAAATGGTGTCAATAACCACTCTATCCTAAAACTATGCACACCCTGACCCTAATGCAATTTAAAGAAATAACAGCTGTGGAGCACTATAAACACAGAGTACAAAACCAGATGGTTACCTTTTGTGTGCCCTACAAACTCTCTCACAGGTGACATAGTATTCCTCATATCCCAAAGCTGCAGCAACGGCATTATATCATAAAACATGAATTTCAAAACAAATTCATATATTACAATGTATAAAGGCATTACCTTAAGAGAAGGTGAGCTATCATCATCTGACGCAACAACAAGCTGAGTTGCTATTTCAGGATGCCACTGCAAAACAGAGGAGCGCCTTCGGTTTGAATCTGAATAAAAACTGTCATATGGCAACAGCACACCATTTGTCAGTCGTAAAACTATAAAAATAAATAAATAAATAAAAATCTGTCAAGGAGAGGCAGTGAAAATAACATATATGAGTGTCTTACTGACCTGATAACTGACTTCTGCTTCCTCAAGTCCCAAATAACTAGAAAAAATAGCAACATTCAGATGAACATTTGTAGAAAGTGAGCAGCACCCAAAGGCTGAAAGACCAAGAAAACAATGCATAAAATTCCTACTTACCAGTTAGCCCATTGTATGAAGTAGAAGCCAGGATAATTGGCACCTTGACATTCCAAGATAAGTAAGATATTTCATTTTGCGAAGCTGAACCAGTACCCTGTACAATTATTCTCAATATTTGTCATAAACATGTAGTGATGTAACATATGAAGCAGTTGCATGGAAATTTGCAGCCATGACACACTATTTTCACCTTCCTACTATCTCTCTGTTCTAATTTCCTTTCCCTCCCTTGATGGAAGAAATTTGATTTGTCTAGCTAATACTTTGACATTTTGGAGTTAGGACCAAAGAACAAGGTTTGCCTCTTGATTGGCATAATCTAAAATGAATGGTTACAGTATGATATTAATTAGGTACACATGGTTACTTATCTGTCAGATATTCATACTAACCCTGCTTCAAATAGAGATAGTTATGAACAGGAGAAACAGTTTGACTGCCAGGGCAGGGGTAGAGAAGACATGTCAAGAAGGTGAAAAGAAAAAGGCTTAAATGAGAAATTTCTTAATAAAAAAAAAAAAACTATCAACCACACTGGAGATACATGGACCAAGAATGAAACACAAACTGCAAACATCAACCGCTTTATGGCTGATCCAATATTTTTTTTACACAGGTAGATACAATCATATGAAACATAGTAAATGATGTCATGATCCAGAGCAATGAATCAAATAATATGTTTTGGTAATGTGACTTAACATAGCGTAATCAAACTTGATCGTTACTTTTTAGTTCCACTAAAGGTCATTTGCCTCTTACAAGAAGCTATGACATAGAAAGCTTAAAGTCTGAACTCATTGAAAAAGCCAAAAGGAGGACCATACCTTAAGAGGAGGGGGGTGTCGAGGCTCATTTGGTGATGCCAAATCCCATATGCAAATTTCGCCATCATCGGCTCCAGAAGCAAGTAGGTTTGGCTGAAGCGCACTAAATTCCAAACCGCGAACCTACAATAATTTAAAGGAAAATGTCAGTGAAGACAAGACAAAAGCTACCTGCTGAAATAAATAGTGTATGAGAAACCAAGATATAAGACTTACAGGCCCTGTATGCTGTGTCAACTGTCCAACAACTGCATTACCACTTGCTTCAGAGCTAAATGGATAAAAAAAAAATCCAAGGAGAAAAGAAACGAAACAACAGATGTGTAAGCATTCGTGCTGCAAGCAATCAAAGATCTACACAACATATAGTCATATAGTATTACAACCTGGAATCAAGTGAAGGAAAATCTCATCGTATCAAACACATAGCTCAAGAGCATGCAATGCAGCATCTAACAGGTTGGCCAAAGAACAGCACTAAAGGAAAAGGATACCTATTGATGGTAAAATACCAAGATATAACACCCAGCTAGACCAGATCAGCATTTTGAATACCCAGAAGACAATGATCAAGGTGGCACATATAGCTCACTCTAACCGGATATATTATTGTTAATAAAATACCAGACTGCCTTAATTTTACCCAATTCGCTCCCCGCCCTTGTGAATCTCGTCTAAGGTTGGACCTACCATGGACTATGTTTCCAAATTTGTACCAAACAAAATATACCAACTAATTAATCCCTATACAGACAATGATATTGAAAAGACTTATTTCACCCTAACAAAGATTCTTAATGGTAGGAAATTTTACAAGTCAGCTATAAAGTCTTTCCATGTTACATAAATCACAGACTCATAGTCACGTAAAATAATGTGAATAAAAACTTGTCAAGCAACAAACAACTAATACGAATTTCCTGATGCATTTTACAATGTGAACGAACAGTGTTCAGGTCAAACTCCCTAATTATAAACCTACGTTACAATCAGTATGCATATACATCAAATAAACCAAATTCCCATTTTCAAGTCACTTCTGGCCAACCTTGGGAATGATAAACTGGTGTCAATGCACATCCAACAGGCCACAGCAATCCCCCTTCACATAGCACCGAGCTTCAAATCGCCAGACAAAATAAACAACCCAACACCTCTAGATAGATAATCCCATCATTAAAATACACAGATCCACATCAGGCCCAAAACTCCTGTCATACCTACAACTTGAGGAACCACTCACACATTTCATCTATGCAAGGAAAATCGATGCACGTAACCAATTCTTCGGAGTTTAAATCTTAATCAAAATCCTACAATATAATAATTTTCACATCCACAAGAAACTAGCAAACAATTTAATCACATTGGGCTATCTTTAACAATTCAACTTTCCACAAACACAAATAATTGAGATAGCCTAACAACTCAATCATCCCAATTCAGAAATTCCGCAATTCACACCAAAATAAGCAAAAACAAATGACGATCAAACAAAGTATCATATACCTAATCAAAGGAAGAGGATTCCAAAGACCAATAGTCCCATCAATGAGACCACCAGCAATCAAACCCATAGAATACTCTTCGGAATTAGATCCATTTTTCCCCCAAGAAAGGCGATTAAACCTCTCAGAGCTAGGGGATTGCGCCACCATAGGAATATCATGATCATCGGAGTTGAAATCGAGCTTGAAAATCTCGAGGTTAGAGGAGGTGCTAAAAGACAGATCGACAGCACCCGCCATTGTTCCGGCAGAAAAGTACGGCGAATCCGGCGACATCGCCACCGATGCCGATCTATTGACGCTCTTGATGCACGCCATTGTCGATCGATTAGCGCGGAAAGAGTGAAAAATTGGGGGTAGGGTTAGGGTTTAAGGGTAAAGAAATCAATCAAATTGGGGGAAATTAAGAAGAGTGGGAAGAAATGGAGAAAGAGATTTAGATCGGGAGGAGGAGAAGAGAAGAAGAGAGAAGATGTTTGTGTTTGTTTATGGAGAAAGAGAGTGGATTGTTATTAGTATGTGCATTTGCATTTCTGAGAGTTTTTTTTTTTTTTTTTTTTTTTTTTTTTTTTAGATTTGGGACATTTGACAATGTTTGTTTAGGAAATGAGGAGGATTTGGGTGATGACATTGGGCGAATGGCGATGAAGAGTGACTGTCATAGAGGTGATCAAAAATTCGAACTGAACGGGCCTTAACATCAATTTTCACGTCTACATTTGCAAATAGTGGTGAATATTCGGGCCATATCTGGTTTTCGGGCTGGGTTTGGGATCTTAATTTTTTTTAAAAAAAATTAGCTTGCCCAAACCCGAGACCGGATTGGACGGGCTAGATTTAAGTTGATATCGATAGCGAGTCGGATCGTAGTTGATCACCTCCAAATTGGGTCACTCTTACAGGCTATGTTCAGTTCAACTTATTTAAGTTGATATCGATTTATTTTAAAAATAATCAGATCAAGTTAGATTGCTTTTTTTTTTTTTTTGCGTTTATTTATCGGTAAAATAACTTTAATTTTGTAAATTTAAAAAATTATTAAAAAAAATTCATATTTTGAAGGAAAAAGTACATCTTAATACAAATCTAATATGACATCTCATTTGATAAATATTTATCTAACGGATTAGTGTAGAAATTAGGTCAATCTTGGAAATAAGATCAGCCGAAATCAGGAAAAAAAAATCAGATCAAATTACGTGAACGGGACATAGTAGTACTCGTATATATTCTTCAAAATCATATTAGTTGGTCAAATCTATAGATCAAATCAAAATCGGAAAAACATGTGTATATGGTATTTGTAACCTCGAAGTCACCAGGTGAGTTGCTCACCATCTCCACCAATACTTCAATATATCCACCAAACAAACTTGATAAAAACACTTTATATAATGAGAAGAGAACAAGTTTTACTACATGAACTCATACCAACATTTCATTATTTTTGGGTTGTATAGATGTATGTCGTAAAAAGGATGTAGATAAGAATCGATTTAAAGTTTTTAGTATTTCATTATAAAAACTTAAAAATAAAAATAAATTAATTAAATTAGTTGGCATTCACGGTTCATAGGAATAATGAAACTATTAATTCTTCTCTCATTTCGTATGTTGAAATTTAAAAACATTTTTTTTTTTTTGTTTTTTTAGATTTTACATTTGCCTTTATCATGGTGTATAAGCCAAGGACATTATTATATTAAACAAACGTAAATAACTACAACTTTGCCCATATATAAATATATTCAAATCATAATGTTATATATTTAAAAAAAAAAAAAAGTATGCATGTAAATTTTTTCCTAGGGTTATAGTTTACAACTATTCTTCATAGGGTTATTTATAACTACATATTTTGTCGCCCTTAATGTAATCAAAGGTACTCGTAAACCAACAATAATTGCTAGTTAAGGGACCCAAGTGTCTATTGTTCATTCATAGTTTTTAAGAAAAACATTGAGCAAAGTGCAATTTTGGCTCGGTTGTTAGTCTTGTTGTCAATCCCATCTTTAGTACGAGTGCTTAGTTTTCTGTCTAACACACTTGATCGTTATGATTGTAAAGTTAATAGTCGGAACATTAAACACTAATAAAAAATGTTAACCACAATCAGTGTGTAATAAAATATGGTCAAACATAGGAGTATATAAATATTGTAACAACTAAAAGGTTAATATATTTGAGTTTTTTTTTATTTATTTACTTTTACCTATCGATCTCTAAAACTTAAATATTTGATTCTACCCATTTCGTATAAGTAAACACTAATAAGTCCCATGTGTTAACACTAACACAAGACCTACATCAATACGGATTATATCTTAACTCGAAAAGTGATCTGATTCGACTTGCATGAGCAAAATGATTTAGTGCAGTAGTACTCAAACTTGAATTAGATACTTGCATCAAAAATTCAAAATAATAATAATAAAAATCCCAGACCAAACCCAACCTAGTTACCCGAATTGGTGAAACAATTATTGAATTTTTTTTTAGTGTTAAACATTGTTGTTGTTTTCCCATACTAGACTCGACCCAGTTACCTTAGGTTTTAAATTTTTTAATGTTAGCCACTAAACTATTACCATATTATTTATCGTTCTATTAAAATTAAATATAAATAAGGACTTCACTCAAAAAAAAAAATCCCAAAAATTTCCAGTTGGCCGCACATTCTACTGTAGACCAACAGCCAGATCCCCTGCCACCAAATATTTGGATTGACCAACACAAACAACACAACACACCATTTCTCTCTCCTCCCTCTTCGTCTTCTTCTTCATCATCTTCTATGAATAACTTGTTCAGAGACGTTTCAAGCTGCAACACTTACGACTATGGCAATTCCCTGTATTGGGATGCTCGTTACATTCAAGAATCTGGCTCTTTTGATTGGTATCAACGTTACTCTGCTCTTCGTCCTTTTGTTCGCAAATTTGTTCCCACTTCTTCTCGTGTTCTCATGGTTGGCTGTGGAAATGCTGGTAATTTTTTTGATCATCCATTTTTAAATTTTTTTTTATACCCTTTTATTGTTTTTCTTCCATTTTTTTAATTTTTATTTCTGATTTGTTGATTTAAGCTGGATTACTTATTTAGGAATTCTGGGGTTTTTTGTTTTGATTGTTTGAATAATGATTTTGGGTTTTTAAGGTTGGAATCGAGTGTTTTGAGCTGAGTGATTTTGTTTGTATTAGTGGTGATTGACTGATTTTCATCAATGCAACAAGAAATGCTTTTAACTGAAACAAATTACAGCTTTATTAGAGATTTGAAATTATTTAATTGATAGTCAATTGTATATGGGTGGTTTTCTGGTGAATATACTGTATTGTTTTATAATGTTTGGTTAGATTAATGTGTATGTTGCTATAATGCTGGTTCTTATGTCAGTTTGACTTTTGAGTGAGGTAGAATGGTGGCATAGATTTGACTTGGGATTTTATGGAATGGATATTTTTGATGATCAGTTCAAGGAGTGGGTTTGACTTGGCTACTCGAACAACTTGATTCGGGATTGATACAGATACCTGGAGTTTCGAGATACTTGTAAACAACGCCTTAGCTTGTGTTTAGTATAGGGTTTCTTTTGCATAAGTGTGTTCGGAGTTGACTTGGTGAGATATTTAGTGTGAAGTAATGGATCTTGAGGTTAATTATTTAGGGCATTGAAGTCGAATACATTTGAGTTGATGAATCTGGGAAGCACGGTATGCTGTCTGGTATTTAATTGTCTATGTGGGTGAGGAGACTGATGGTATGGCTTAATTTTTGCATTGATTTGTTAGCAATCAGTATCTTCTATAGTTGTTATCTTAAGGTTTGGTATGGACTTTGCTGCGCTGAATTACTTCAATGATGGGAACTTTGTTTGGGAAGAAGTGATTGCTCTAAGTTGTTCCTCAGAGGAAGATTTACGGCCATAGTATGTTATATACTTATATGAAAGACTTCGGTTGATTCACTTGTGGATTAGCTTTTAATTGAAGGCTGGTAGGCCCGCTACGCTAGGATGTCAGACTTATATCATCTTACATGCTTTATGGTCTTCTCTTTTTACCATGTTAAAATTTGACTATGAAACTTTGGTCATTTTATATGCTTAATGGTATTTACTGTTTGTGCTCTATGCGTTAGAGTTCCTGGGTTTGCGAGTCACGGAAGTTTGTGGATAGTAATCTGATTGTTTATCCATTGACTCACTGTGTTGGTGACATATTCTCAAAATGTTGATTGTCTCTTATTATTCAATGTTTTCATAAGGAGGAGCTGTTCTTCTAATTTTATCCAGATCTTTGATTTTCTATTGAACGCATCCTTATATAAAAATGAAACCTATTAGCTACTTAAAGATCAACATTTAATTGCTGTAACATCAATTGTTGCTCCTCATGACCAAAGTTGCTGATTCTAGTTTTTCAATTTTTTTAGTCATATCAGAGGATATGGTGAAAGATGGATATGAGGAGATTATGAACGTTGACATTTCTATGGTTGCCATTGACATGATGAGAGGGAAGCATGCACACATACCTCAACTGAAATGTATTCTTGCAGCCTTTTTTTTTTGTTATTTACTTTGGACTATTATATTATGTCAACTGTTCTGTACTTTTGCTATGAGATAATTTAATATCATCTCCATTAAGTTCACAATTGTAAGTTCTAGGGAATAGCTTCCTTATCTGGTCTTACAGATATGCAGATGGATGTTAGAGATATGACTTTTTTCCCAGATGATTCATTTGGCAGTGTTATTGATAAAGGTAATTTTTCTCATATGTGAACGTATTGAATTCATGGCTGTGTTCTCCAATGAAGAACTGTAGCATTAACAATTTTTTTTTTTTTTTCTCCATCTTATATATTACTGTCGGCAAAATAGGAACTCTTGATTCTTTGATGGTGAGAAACTCCTTGCTTCAACTTCTGAAAGGTGTGATTATTTATCGTTTTAATCATGTCATTCTCTAATTTTGACCCTCTTTTTTGAAGTGCGGTACTGAAGCTATAATAAGTGCTTCTCGGATGTTGGGTGAAGTCAGCAGGTTTTGAGATCATTACTTTAAGTTGCCAACATTTTAGTCATTTTTACTTTCATTCAAACTTTTATATCCTAAATTTCCTTGAATCGAGGATAATGTTTTCTTGCAGGCTACTTAAGCCTGGAGGAGTATATATGTTGGTAACCATATACTCTGTTATCTTTGTCCATGTCTTGCACTTGGCTTTTGCTGAAAGCAGATCAATTTCTAGACAGATAATCCATATTTCATTTTTCCCTTTTTGCAGATTACATATGGTGATCCACATGTGAGGATGCCTTATATTAACCGATCAGTGTACAATTGGAAAATTGAACTGTACATAATACGTAAGTTTTTACCTTGTAACCTCAACGTTCTTTTTTGTTAGTGTTCAAGCTACACTGCCGAATTTCTTTTGGTCAATGTTTCATGAACAACTGAGATGTGTTTTCCATAGTTTCAGATAATTTAAAATGATTCCTTTTTTTTTTTTTTTTTTTTTTTTTTTTTTTTTTATTTCACTTTAGTTGTAATATTATTGTAGTAATTCAGCACTTAGAAGTTTTAAGTAAGATTAGAATTGAGAGCCCTTTTTGTTGTTTGTCATTAGCTAATGAGCCTAATAGGTTGAAATGGATAGCCATAGAGCCTGATGCTGCCACTTGTATATGGTTGTACATGGTAGGGGTTGTATTTAAGTTTGAATTTGTTTTATGTAGGCTCAACGCTGAATTCAAACATTTAAATACTAACTTAATTCCACCAAAATTGTCCTGCTAACTTTTTACTGATATTAAATAGTGTAAATAATGAGTTGGATACTCAGTATTACCAATCGTGTGTTAGCATAGGACTAGTGAACTGTGATTGCTTGAATGTGCATTTGGTGAATAGTTGGCAATAAAATGGGAGAAAGTAAAGTAAAACAGAGGACAGTTTTATGGGGCTAGGGGATACCAAATATCAATGGCGTGTTATACTGTTATGCCCTTGGCAAGTTGGTGTTCTAACTCCTCCCCTATTTCTAGTGAGAACTGAGAATTGACCCTAGGTCCTTGCCCTAAGAGATTTAAAAGCCCCACCGGGCTATTCCATGAATTCCCCCCCCCCCCCTATATATAGCTCTATAAGCAGTGCGGCTGCTTTTTTGTGTACCAAAGAACCACCACAGCATGATCAGTCTCATTGAGAAATTAGCTCGGGTTGCTTTGAAGTAAACACATGAACTGGGATGTTGAGCATAAAAATGAAGCTAGTCCAAATGTAGATAATATAGAAGCTATTAAATATGGCCTCCGTACTTCAGGTGATATCAAATTATTGTCCTTAGCTCTTGGAAAGGACCAACGAGTATCCATGGCACCCAGTTCTGCCCCCCTTCCCTTATGAGGACACTGGAGTGTTGTTGACGCTAACTGTTCAGTTCGCATTCTATTGATGTATGATATTTTTGTAGATAGATTATTAGTAGTTGGTGGGTTTTCAGGATAAGAGATCTTGAGATCATTCTGAATCATATTTTTCAATCGCTCTTTTGTCTTAAGCCACTCAGTGGAGCTGGAGAATATTTCATCCTAAAAGGAATATAGCACCCTAGACGGAGTATAACACCTAGCTGGGATGTGTATGAGACTTTGGTAGCTAGGGCTAAGGGCCTTACTAGAATTACTACTATCTAATAATATTCCTGTTTTTCGTATCTTGAGTTCTGTCCTACTATGTTGTTTAGACTGGTTTGAAAGAATAGATGGACTTTTGATGATCTGATAAGTTATGTAAGTGCTATTATCATCCTAAAAATCATTTATTTACAGGCTATATATGCAAGTCATGTTGCATTGTGTGAGGTTTTGCTATCCAGAAAATCAAGCATATGCTTAGTTATATGGTGACTTTGGCTAGAAGGTTTTGCATATTTATGAGGTATTATATCCTGTCTGGTTAGGGTGACGTGTGAGGGTGATCTTTACACATATTGAGCTCCATCCCTCTTGCTGTTTCACACTGATATTGTGCTATGTTGAGGTATTGAGTCTATTGACTCTATGCAGGATAGCACTGATCAATATTGGCTTGGCCTATTATGCTTATGGAAAAATTTTGAATTGCTCACTTTGGAGACTTTCTCATCTGAATATTCCAAGTTTTGTCCCTGGCATACATAAATTGTTTATGCTTTATTCAGTAACTTAGTCATGCTATATATGCCTGACACTTGGTTATAATGTGGCCTTTTCCATGCTAGTTGGTTGAAGGCACTAGACCTCATATCTGTATTGACTTTGGGAGCATCGGAGAGTTGCTTAGGGTGTAAACTAGATTAGATATCCAAATTGAGATATTCTTGTTTCCTCCTCTACTCCGATAAAAAAGAGGAAAGAAAGAAGTTAACTATGATGGTTTTGGGTGCTACAATACTCAAATCCTTCACCTGCCGTGCCATAACACTCTCATTTCCTTGTCTTACCCATGTTAGACATTAGGATGATCCTCCACGAGTAGCAGAATACCTTGAAAACACTACATGTATCCACGTTGGACAAAAGAATGTGCACGTGCTTTAGGGACATTCTTTTTGGCATGGCTTGCCAATTTTTTTTTTTGCTGACCTAATGACTAAAAGGATTATAAGATCCGACTGTACAAGATGACTAAAAGGACTAGAAAATCCGATAATAAAAGATCTCAAAGAGTTGTTAAACCTAGGCATCCAGTATCTTTATGACAGTGTGCCTGCTGCTGTTGGTTGTACCTCAAGAATAGATGAAGACCTATTATTATCTGTGTCTATTAGGAACTATGTGCTTTGTAGGTTCATGATGTATCATGTCCCTATTTGCTTAATGACTTCTTTGAGATTGATTGCTCTTTACCTTTTCCCTGCAATTAAGCCTTTATTGATCCATGTAAAAAAGTTGTTTGAATTAATAAATTCTTTGTATCTACAGCAAGACCTGGGTTTGAAGGCTCGGCTGTTGCTTCCATCAAATCATGCTTGGAGCCTATCCCTCTGTCTGAGGACGGCCTGTTTCCACCTGATTTTGTCTTGCAAGACCCAGATTGCCACTTCATATATATCTGCAGAAAGAATGAGGAGCCGGCTAACATAACGTCACATCCTTAAGCTGGTGACAAGCTATGATCCTTTACACCTGTTCATATACAAACTAACATAGTCATTAAGTTTTATTGCTATACCAATCTTTGTAACATTAGATGTGTATAATTCTTGTTACGAAGAAGTTGAGGGTTATGAAATAAGTGATGCCTCAATTCAGAGCCTCGTAGCTGGAAATAAAGGGTTCACAGATTTTTCTGATTTTATGTGATGATCTAGCAGATTGCTTAACTATTACAGTACGTGGTATGTAACTATGTAAGTGAGGTGTTTTCTATATTAATAAAGCTTCGTTGTTCTTTGTTACTTTTTGTTTTGAAAAATTGTCATTGTAATCTGTTTCCTCCAAGAAGAGAGTTGTCTGAGCTTTTTTGCCTGTGTAACTGTAATTCCCTGTATTGTAATAGCGTGATTTATATAGAAGCATAATTAAACCATATATGCTTTACCCATAAATTGCAACTTGTATTATGTGTGGCTAGTCACACCGTGTGTCCGCTTATAAAAGAACAAAGTAACCTTATAACACTGACGGAATAACCCATGTAATACTGATCGAGTAACCCTTATAACACTGACGAAGTAACCCCTATAATACTGACCAAGTAACCTCTATAATACAGACCAAGTAATTCCTTTAACACTAACAAAGTAGCCCCCATGATGGCCACACAACCACATATAAGAATTTGTACATAAATTGAGGTTGAGGATCAACAAAGGTAGGGGTTCATTTTTCTTCATTTCCAAGTTTCCAACATATCAGATCCTTGAGAAACATTTTTTTTTTTTTTGCACAATTAAAATAATTTTTTTAACCACTTGCACCCAACACCATCATAGTTAACTTCTTGGATGAACTTAGATGATGTAAATAACAAAATGGATTAATTGATATGTTTTCACTTTAATCAACTTAAAGATCCAGCTTTCTCACCAAAATATTAAATATTGAAAATTCAATAAAAATAACAAAATGTATTAATTGACATGTTTTCACTTTGGACACTACTAAATCTTGAAGTGTTAAACCTTTAAATTTGTGACGTGTCACATAAAATAAAAACGGATCATCCAAATTTCTCTTTGGGCACTATTAAATCTTAAACCATTAAATATTTGAAGTTTCATACTCGTATGTGAATATAACAAGCAGCCTAATTTTACAGTATATACTGATTGACATATATCAGCTGGACATTTGTATGCAAAATTTTCCTGAGTTCCATCACACATTTCTTGCTACGTTCAGCATTTTTTGCAATCTGAAATATATAATCTCCAATTAACCGATCACCTCCAGTCGTTAGATCACCAGATGAATTGAGATTAATCTTCTGGAGAGAAACGGTGCATTCAACCAGATAGGCAAGAAAATCCATGATAGCTAAATCGTCACTAAAGCTAGACAACTTGACCTCTTTAAGGTTCTTGTGCGGAAACATGGAAGGCAATTCCAGTTCTTCCCTTACCCAGATAGAAGGTTTTGATGATGTGAGCTACAAGCAACAAGGAGAGAAAATCAGCAACAGCTTTCAATTATAACAAAGCAATTATGAAGAGTTCATGTTTGTGAAACTTCATGACAGAAACGTCTGAATTAACACACCAGGACACACATTCACATGTAACACATTAATATGGAACATAGTGAAACTCCCATAAAGATGCCATCAGATACATTGGAGCGGGGAAAAACATCCCTTGTCCCATATCTTTTAAGATTTGAACTAAGATTGTTGACAAAAGGAACTGAGATTAGAGTGTACTATAAAGAACATGCAAAACACAGAATCACATGAGCCCGTGAATATAAAATCAGCTCTTCCAACTCTAAGCCAAATTCTTGGCTGCAAAACAATCAAATGAGCAGTAAACTAGCTACCTCTCATGTAGCTTAGAATCTTGCATGTTTTCACTAAGTCCACTCCTATATTACAAGCTAGATCTAATGAATCATGATCAACAAAAATGACTGGCGATTTGGGAACATGTTATGCCTATTTTCTTATTTGCACTGACCTCCAAACTGCAATGGCAAGGGCACAACAGAGGAAACCTCATATTGTGACTTGAGGTAATAATGGTAAGACAGAGCTCCAACTCTCCAAGAGAAAGACCAAAACTATGACAATACAGAATCACTCCCAACTCTACTCCAGGGGTTAATGTAAATTGTTGCCTTTACCAAGAGTATCAACCACAATTCGCTAGAAGGTTGAAGAAGACAATCACTCCTAAACTCCAACAAGTTTTTATTGGAAACAGTGAGAACCCTCAAATACAGGAATATGTGGATCAATACTGGGTTAAAATTCGAAAGCCAGATATCTAAGCATGAGTTGGAGTATTTTAATTTTCAATTCAAACCAGAGGCAAACCTTCAAACTACTCAATATTGTTGTACTAGAAAATTTAAAAGCCATTTACAAAAGTTGTTCTTGGCTTTGCTTATATAGTTATATTGGTCTGGCCAGGCCTAGGGATATGAGAAACCTGCTTCCTGTAAATAATTCTTGACTATGCGCTGATGAACAACCTTTTATCACTACCCAAGAAGCTTGAGTTCAACAAAGGGAGGCATTTGTGTTAGAAGGGAAGGGGCTATTAGTTATTTGCTATTTGTTCTATAATATATTTGCAGGGTAGGCTAATTGTTGCGACGTGTTTATTTATATGGAGTATTATGGATAACATTTGCCCATAAACATGCCAAACAAATATATCCTCCACTAAAAAGAGAAACCAGTACACTTAATACTCAGCAAGTCAGTAGTATACCATTCAGCATTCACATGCAAACCGAAAGTCATTAATCAAAATACTTTGACTATATGAGGCTATGAGCAAACATGATATTAAGAAATACAATAATAATAATTTTAGTCCATATAATGTGGAGTAATCAAAAGAACATTGTAGCAGGTGTTTCTTTCACAATTTATGTATTAGTCTAAGAATACATAAAATGCAGTTGCATGACCAGGAGTAGGGGATTCAGATTGACATGTGAAATAAAAACTTACATCTAGCTGAAGAAGCTCCAAGTATGGGGCTGCACTGATTATAAAAGCAGCTACTTGGCGGCAGCATATTCGTATTGAAGATGAAAGATATCCATCCAACATCAGTTTTTTTAGATTTCTGAATACACAAAGTTGAGAAAAATTACTCATACCCTGCACAGATGACAGACCTATCCATCAGGCAAGTGATCAAGAGATACTAAAAATCAGAAACCTCAATCAATTTGCTTATGCTTACCTCAAAAAGAGTAACTGAGACAAACAAAGACTCCAACTTTGGGAGATAAGAGGAGAACTGGTTTAAAATAAAGCTTCCTCCTCTAGGAAATATCGCGTATATATCTGATTCTAAACAAGTATAAACTGCTAGGGTCAGGGATGCAAGCTGCGGACATCCTTAATACATAGACTTCCCATATAACCTCATTCATACTTGAATGATACAAGATTTGGGGCCAAAGTTCCAATTTTTTTTAAGTCATAACAATTGTACAGCTTCAGTGATTTAAGCTTTAGGTGAGGAGCTGTATTCTTAGCATTAACTAGTCCACCATTATTCCTCAAATGAAAATTTTCTAGAGAGGAACAATTGTATAAAATTATGTCAAATACTTGGTCTGAAAGGTTTACAGACCTTAGACGGAGATCTGTTAAAGACACAAAGCTTCTCACAACATTGGGAGAGGAATGTTTTGATATCATCATCTCTTCTCGAGCAAAGACATGGAGAGGAACATAATAATTGCCAAAACCTTCATGTCTATGCCAACCTTCAAAGTCGAGTTGCAAAGGAAATCCATTCATCAATATGAGACTTAAATTTCTCATTGGGTGCACAATCCTGAATTTATGTAACTTTCCACCCTTAAATTTCTCCAAAACTTTGTTGACTCGATGCACAAGTATTTCAGGGTAATAGGTTTTCTTAAGAAAACCAAAGTCAAGAAAAGGGTATGATATCCATACATCAGTCCATCTCTTTGAAAGGATGCTAGTAGCTATTGCTTCCTTCAATGTTAATCTGCCACAATATTTGACAGGAGTTCATCTGGCAAATCACTAATCCGGTCTTTCTCTTCAATTCTTTTGAATCGCTGAATAATCCAAACACAATTGAAAAAACAAAAAAAATCAATCATGTTGCAGAGTAAAACTTTGTCAGTATAAAATTTTGTCACATCGCTTGACATGAGCCACAAAGATTGAGAGTAGTACTAGGATGAGTGACCTCATAAATGTTGGTTCTTGTAGCCGACCCCACTTATGGGATTGAGGCGTTGAAGCAGAAGAAGAATAATCAATCATGTTGCAATGCACAAAATTTTAATCATAATACCATCACTTTGTTGCAAAGCACACCAGTACATAACTTTAACCTCATTACGATCACTTCGTTGCAAAGCACTAAAATGTAACCACTATGTTATCAATTTTGTTGCAGAGCATAAAACTTTAACCATAATTATATCAATTTTGTTACAAAGCACAAAAGTTTAAACACAAAACTATCAATTTTGTTCCAAAGCACAAAACTTCATCTATAATACTATCAATTTTGTAAATAATAATATCAACATTGATGCAAAGCACAAAAATTCAACCGAAAAAAACCTAATACTTTGAAATAAGAAGGAAAAAAACATTACAACCAAACTGACCTTTAATTCACAAAATTGAGGAAGACCCATAATGTCTGGGTTGGCCATCAATTCAGCAGACTTTCGAAATTTCGAATAAGTTTCGATTATCAACAAATCTTTGATCTTCTTGACTTCCAGAGTTCCGGAGAAAAAAAAAATAAGCAGCTAATTTTGGAAACTGACAAGCTTTCGAGTTCACAAGACTAGAAGAGATGATCACGGGCTGGGCTTTGGTCAAAAAAGTGTCCCATTTTGAGCCGGAAAAATCATGTCCAAACCCGCTATTTGAATTTAAGATTAGCCACTGAGGTTAACCATTCTTTTTTTTTTTAGAAAAAGGTTAACCATTCTTGTCGTTTCTTTTCCTCTTGTTCACCATGCAACTCACTTATTGTTGACTATGAGACATTATCCTCACTTCTCATAAGTTCATAATAACTACTTATTGATTTGGGAGCTATAAAACTAGCTAGCTTATTGATGGTTGATTATTTTATCTTCTTCATTCATAGAGGGAGTTGATTTCATAATGATTACTTGACTTTCTAAGTGTCATGAATTCACGATGTTATAATTCTTCCTCCATTCTCTACATATTCAACATTTCTTCCATGATACACTTTTTTTACTTCCATACTTTCATAAAAAATATATATATGTCACAAAGCACCATACGACATGAGAACATGACAAATGGTGTATGAACTTGAAGCAAAAACTTTTGGTTCCTAAAGGTATGACAACCAAGAGTTGTACACTTCTCAAAAAGAAATAGGTCGCAGTTGTCAGTAGTCTGTCTCCATTATCACCATTGATTGGCCTGGAAGTGAAGAAGGACTAAAAGTAGATTCCATTGGGCCACCCTTCCGAAAATTTTGACATGACAAATAAATTGAGTTATGAGACAACCTTACAATCAGGTTCAAGGCATGTATACTATAAAAAACACAAACCATCACGATCCACCACCATCTTTTGACTAAGATGCTCGCCACCCAAGTTAAAATTAGTTTGGCACTAGTAATTTTGGAGAACATAATACTTTACTATGGTGTGGTTTCGGAATATTATCAGAGTAAGAGTGGATACTCTTAATTGATACATATGTCCAATTCTTTCATCTTTGCTATAAGTTGGAGGATCCTATTTCTTTTTTCTCTTATATAAAAACCCTAGCTAGTACCTATTTAACTAGAAATGAGTGTGTTTATGAATTCTCTCCCACATAAAGAAAATCATCCTAATAAAATAATAGCTATTAATATGATTATTTTGTAATTCCACTTGTTGAAGAGGAAAGAGTAGTACAAGTGGAGTTTCTAAACTTGGTTAAAATATATTCTTGGAATTTAAAGATCAACCCAAATTAGGAAATGTTAATGGAACTAGAAACTTTAGCATTTCAGCAAGTTGTTCTTAGAATGGTATTTAACCAATTTCTTAAAGTGGGTTTATGCGCATTTTCTGCTTCCTTTAATTTCTGTTTTTAGTTTATTTAGGGATAGCCTATGGATCTTACCCTTTCCAATTAATTTCATTTTTTCCCCAAAAACTTGCATTTTAATTACTACCTTTTTGTGAGCTGTGAGTCTTTGTTCTTGTTAGATATTCAAGCAATTTTAGTGTTGCTATAATTTAATCTTCTGTTTTTTCGTCGAAGTTTAAATATAATGAGAACATGAGTACTCGTAGAGTCGTAGTTGCTATAATTGACTAATTATTAGGCACTTGATAGGGGTAAATAGAGCAAATTAAACAAATTAGCTTTTCTTCATACTCACCCTTAACTTGTTTACTTTTTAAAAATGAAATAACAAGATCTCAATGGCATTAATGCATTATTCCTAGGATAAATTGTCATTTACCTAAATGTTAGATAGCTAAATATTAGCCCCTATATACGTATGTACTAAGCTTTATCTTCAATCTACAAAAATGCTCATTAGGAATTAATCATTCAAATATTTTATTTTTCACTCACTTAACTAAGATGCATAATATATAAAAACCAAAAAAAATAAAAAATAAAAAATAAAAAAAATCAAAGAAGTGATATTTATGTTTGCCTTTTTCTTGTCTACTAGTTGTCAACAAAAGAGAAGAGAAACAAATTTTCTTTGGTACTGATGTCACGATATAGACTTGAGTCAAGACAACTTTAATATGACTCTTTAAATTAGGAATAGAGTCATCACTTTTCTAAGAAAAAATAGTGTGGTGAAAGAGAAATGAATAATTTTAATGTCACAACGTTATTGCCTAATAATTTCCCTTAAAATGGTGATATTTAATAAAAACAAGTACCACAAAGTTTTTCTATTTACATTGAGCTTATTAATAAAGCCATGTTAGGAAACATATAGAAGTAATGCCTAAGCTATTTTTTTCTTCGTTCATATATATTAAGAATTTAATCGCTAGTTCAAATTAAACTATTAATAATCAATGAGATATCGTATAATATAATTTTGTGAGGATATCTTTTGGCAAATATTATCTATTGTATTTTAGTTAACTTCCTAGGATTCTAGCGTATCTTTTGGTTCTATTGTTAGGAGGTGTAACTATTATATATTTGACATTACGATCAATGAGAAATTCAAGCCATTCAATTATATTTTCTATCTAATTTATCATGGTATCAAGAGCAGGTTAATTTTTTTTTTCCACCTCAATAAACATCCATGGCCGGCGATGATACATCATCACCGTCGCCACCAGAAAATCCCGACCATCAATCTCCATGTAGGGAGGCTTTGGCCGGTCTTATGGGTAATACAAGAGTTCCCGAAAATCGGCTAAATGGTAACTTTGATGATACTTGTTGGATTATCGATACCGGAGCTACTCACCATGTAACCGGAAATAAATCTTGGCTTTTTGACACTTACGCCATTGAATATCTTGTTGGCTTGCCCAATGGTGCAAGTGTACTCGCAACTTTGGCCGGCTCGGTTTACTTGTCTGATAAAATTACTATCTCTGGCGTTCTTTATGTCCCAAAATTGAATTGCAATTTAATTTCTGTTTCTCAACTCAATGATCAATTAAGAGTTGTTGTACAATTTAACTCACATATGCGTGCCATACAGGACCCAATGAAGGAGCTGATTGGAACGGGACTTAGGCACGACGAACTCTATTATCTTAGCAAACCGGATGTGGTGCAACGTGTGTCAATGATCGAAGCGTCATCTGATTTGGATCTTTGGCATAGAAGAATGGGGCATCCTTCGGAAAAAGTAGTAAAGTTGCTTCCTCATATAGTAATAATAAAAGTAGTTTAGCAAAAGGATGTGAAGTTTGTTTTTGTGCTCAACATCCTAGAGACAAATTTCCTCTAAGTGACAATAAAGCTTCTAGAATTTTTGAAAAAATTCATTGTGATTTATGGGGTCCATATCGACATGTTTCATCGTGTGGGGCTCGTTATTTTTTGACTATTGTTGATGGTTATTCTCGAGCTATTTGGATTTATTTGATGCTTGATAAAACTGAAGTTTTTCGGATGTTTATGGCGTTTGTTGCTATGGTTGATAGACAATTTAATCAAACAATCAAAATTGTGCAAAGTGATAATGGAACCGAATTTAATTGTTTGCATGATTATTTTGTTGCCACTTGAATTCTTTTTCAAACCTCGTGTGTTGGAACCCCTCAACAAAATGGGAGAGTAGAGAGAAAACACAAACACATTCTTAATGTTGGGAGAGCCTTGAGATTTCAAGCACAACTACCAATTTATTTTTGGGGGGAGTGTGTTTCAGCTGCAGCTCATTTGATTAACCGAACTCCTACTCCTCTTCTTCAAAATAAAACACCGTTTGAAATTCTCTTCAATAAACCTCCTCCTTTTGGTGCTATCCGTACTTTTGGTTGTTTGTGTTTCACACACAATTAAAAGACGAGGGGGGATAAGTTTGCTAGTAGGAGTCGTAAATGTGTCTTTATGGGGTATCCATTCGGTAAAAAGGGGTGGAAGCTATTTGATTTTGAAACAAAGGAATTTTTTGTCTCTCGTGATGTGAAATATGTGGAAGATGTGTTCCCTTTTTGTAGTCCGGAAGATGCTAATGTTGATCCGAATCTTTGTGAGACGGGGGATAATGTTCATGTTGATTTTGCGGATTTTATTGTGAGTGACGATGATGATTTGGTTGCTTATAATGCTGAAGTTGAGAATGAAATAATTAATGGGGAAGGAAATGATGTGTCTTCACCACAAGTAGATACGGAGACCGCACGGCAGCAGTTCACGGCACAGCAGCATGATGAGGTTGCTGCTACTGCCCAGCCGAAACCTGCCCCTGCCAGACAGACCGCACAGCAGCATGATGAGGCTGCTATTGCCCAGCCGCAACACACTGACCAGCTCGCAATGCCACAGCCACTTGTGTCCGAGCCCATTGTCAGGCTAAAGTCGTATCACCTAATCAAAAGTAATTCCTAAAACCACTAACTAAAATAGATAGGGAAGTAGGGTCGAATCCACAGGGAATCAATGTTCTTTTATTTCTAATAAATTATTATAATCTAAATTATCACCAAACAAGTAAGAATTGTGAGAATTATACTAAAGGCTATAATTAAACTAAGGGAAAAATCAATAATAAAAAGCCTAAGGTCATAGGTTCACCAATAATTAAAACTCCGGGATAAAACATAACAATCAATATCAATGCATAAATTAACCAGATTATAAAGGGCTTTCGTTACGTATTATAATCACAGAATTAATCTACCGGTATTAAATCGCATCTCTCGAATCTTGACTTAACCATTTATAAATTAACCTGCCTATTGAAACTAAGCCTAAACATCAATCCTCTTCTCTCGAATCTCGAATCAATATTGCATAACTCATACAATTAAACCTGCGCAAATCTAATTGCATAGAATTAAATCAATCAATAGGAAATCAATCAAGCATTGTCAGTCAACAATAATAAATTACCCCTTCATATTATTTATGGATCCTCACAAACCCTAGAAATAAAACTACTTGTGCATGTTTAAATCTAAACTAAGCAAAGCAATTAAAGAAAGCATAATTAAACCAAGCAATTAAATTACTGAAAGTAAAAAGGAGAAGAAATCGTTACCAAGATAAACGGAAGTAAGGAATTGCATAAACCAAAAGTGTGGAGAGAGAAACAAGAGTATTAACTAAAAGCTTAAAACTAAAAACTAAGAAATAAAACTAATGAGAAAAGTAGAGAGAGAGAGAAAAAAAAAAAGAAAAAAAAATCCCAAACTCGCTTAACAAAAGCGTATTTATATTAAAACTAAGAAAACGTAAGCTAAAACAAAGATTAAAAGT